TCTTTAATCAAAAACGCGCCTTAGAGTATTCATAACTTTTGGGAAATATTTTCACGGCTGTATGGATGTTTTTCCAATAGGGTTGCTACCTCTGGTTGCGCGCTTGCTGGTAAATAAATGCTTTTAGTCATCAAACTCACATCAGGTATTTTTCAATGTACTCTATGTGTGTAGGAGCGCACATGCGCAAACTCATGTTTGACCCAAATCGACGGCAGCGCTGCAAATGTTGTCACTTGCGATTATGCCAACTTAAGCAATGTTGCCATCGTGTTGCATACTCAAGTTGCTCGTGGGCTCAGCTGCGCGTTTGTTTGTAAATATTTGCTGAACTGCATATATACATTTGCGAGTGTCGTATCTGTAGAAGCAGTCAGATATTTAAATTTTCAGGTGCGCATTGCACAAAGGCAAGCCGCAGGCATAAATAATATGTCATTTCGGAGATGCTGGTGTTTTACGGTGCCTTCCCAGACCCACAGGCTCCATGCTAATCCAAACGAATTTCAGTTGGCGAAAGTGAAGTTGTTCAAAATCGTTTATGATGATTCATGATTCCCATATTTTATTATCATGTCATTCAATGATGGTGCTCAGAACGCGGTGCACACAAAACGTTGCGAAATGCTTTTGAAACAGTGCGCGCATGCGCAATTGCCTATGTCGTGTTTATCAGCCGCGGCCAATACATAATCATCAGCGACGCTTCACAACGCAACGGCATTTACATACACACATACATACATTATGCTTAGCAGGCTATGACACATTTATCATATTGCATGCCACATTTTATTTCGGTGACACTTCTCAAAGCATGCGCATTTGTGTCTATATACTTGTATATATATATACTCATGGAGATACACAGGGAGTGTGCGCTTGTGTGCCCAACCAACCTGTGCAACCTGCCTGTTCGTACGCATCCACTCAATGTGAACTAGGTTGAGTCGTTGAATTGGCTGCTGTGCGACGCGCTGCTGTTTCACACAATTTATGGCGGCGGCAAATTTCTCTTGCCGATGTTGATAAGACTAGGTGTTGGCAAATGTCATAAACTGATCGCAGATAACCGAATTTTTTCGAAATACTCGTGCTTGTTGTTGCAATATACAGTAGGTTGATTGTGAGGAATCGCATTGTTAAAACGGTGAGGCAACTACCTCAATTAGCGGAAGTAAAACTAAAGTTACCCAACACTTTTTAAATCGAAGTTAATAAATTTAAATCACTCAGTTCTAGTTTTTTTCTAAAACAATATTTATGTTTCTCTTCGCTTAAGAATATTTGTTAGAAGTAGTTGTTTAGTTTTTCTGAAGCGAGTTCTTGAAAAAGAGTTGTGGAGTAAGAGTTTCTTCCAAATATTACCACTAATTCTATTCTGGAATATTAACCGAAACACCATTTGGTGCATTAGTCATGCAGCAGCGACAACTGCCATTGATTTTAATCGCCGCGCGTGATGTGTTGCAATAAGGTTGTCTCACTGCATAGGACTTCTATGCATATGAATTGATTCGTGGAAACGCGCCGATTCATTCGCAACGTTGCATTGTCTGCTCGACATGCCACACCCCCACCCACCGCTGCGCCGCATGTTGTATGGTCGAAACTCACTCGCTCTGCCATTCATTGGTGAACCAACGCGCACACACACCGCCGAAAGGAGTAAACAAGCTGAAATCGACACAAAGTTTCCACATAAAGCGTGCGGCGTGAGTTCACCGTCGAGGTTAAGCACATTGAACCGCTGCGTTCCGCGAGCGCTTAGCAGCCGCTGCTGTCCGATTGCCGAATGTGAGTGCGACTGCGCTCTCCTCAGGTCTTAATGATCGGCGCGCAATTTCCCAGGCTTTGCAATGGTCAGGAAATGCTGGGAAAATGTTTGCTAAGAATGCAAACACGAATGCCAGCTGAACTGCGAAAATGCAGTGCAATGCTAAACATGCCGAAGGGTTAAGATAGTTGTTGTTTTGCCACCGCTTTTATTCGCGTTGCACATGGCAAGCGATCCACACCGACAACCCTGTTGGGCGAGTAGTTACAGCAATATACACTTCATTGGCGTGTTAACTGCTTCTAACTTGCCACAAATGTCTTGTGCAACAACAAAACAGCAGTAAACTGGACAACGCATTTTACGATTGGTTCATATTAAGTGGCCGCGAGTGTTTGGTTATTGCGATTTCTTTTGTTTTGCGCCTGGTCGACAGCTACTTGCCACATCGCACTCCAACTGGAGCGGAAAGCACAACCGACGCGCACTTCCTTTGCGTGTGGCAAAAGTGATTTTTACGCGATTGCTACACTCCCATACCCATCTGCAACGTTGCCAGCGCCCGCGGCAGACTTACAATCGGTCGCAATAATAGGCGCTCATTCCTTAAACCGCCGACGAGGTCTCCTATCAGCCGTGAAATCAACAGTTGCACCAAAGTGACTAGGAAGTGTGAAACAAATGCAAAAAATTCAATTAATGTCCCATGCAACTTGCAATTTGTGTAGATCTTCTGAGAGTCGTAATTAAAAAGAGTAATGAAGTGGCGCATGCAACATGATCACATCCCTCCCACCCCAAAAATAATTTTTTGTTACTGTGATGTATATGATGTTCCCAAATCAAAAGTTTTGAGCATTCAGTTAGTGCCCTAATCACTGTTCTGCTTCCCTGTGCCACTGTTGATGTTTCGCATTCTGTTGAAGCCACTATTATAGAGTGGTTTATAGGTCAGAGTGTTGACTCCAGTTTTGCATATAAAGCCTTGGCTCACGAATATACAGGAATAAGGAACAAATGCACTAGTTATAAAATGGAAATTGGACCTGCCAGGTTACGCGTTGCTGTAGGTTGTTTTAAAAGATAGGACGTATGGTTTTGGCGTAGCAATGGCGTTGAGCCTTCAAACTTCATACTACTCGAAGCATATTGAACTTTCTTGAATAACTAAAAGCTAAATAAAACCAAATTTTTATAATTGAGCGAAAAGAACAGCAATGCTTAGAGAGCTGGCAGGCAACTGCGCTTAACCCAAAGTAAGGTGTTTAGTGCAATTATACTAAATATCAATGAAATTTCAACATCGCTAGATTTTCTCACATATTTATATTATTATCGTTCGTGTTTATATGCTCATGTGCCGTTTTGCATTGCCGTCTCAATGCTCGCCACTTGACCTACCTACTTAGCATATGCAAACAGCGCATTATGTAAGCACTTCTGCGCCTGCGCGGTGTCATTTCGAAAATTTTGTTGATGACAAGCATTATTTGGTAGTTACTCCACTTTCGTTTGGCCGATTTTTGCATAATTTCCGAAAAGCTCCCACGCCGCTGACATTCGCAATTTACTCATCAACGATTTGTTGGCACCGAGACAAACGACAATGCCATGCCGTCGAAAGTGGAGACATGGAGACAATGTGAAGTGCTTTATAATAATAAAAATGTTGTAACTTTAATGTTGCCACATTAATTGTTTCGCGCGTTAAAAGCGACATTTTTGAAACTCGCAACTAACAAATTTTTCCAGCTGCAAAACGAGCAAATAAAATTAGCCAATGCCAATTTCGCACACTGGTTAAAAATAGCAAAGGCAACATAAAAGCAAACGAGGGAGGAAAAGAGCGTGAAAAAAGGCGCTTGTGCTTGTGTGTCGCTTTTGTTGCTCCGAGTTGAACGGCATTCAAAAATTCACACCGCTGCGTAAACACACAAAGCGCCAATGCAGCAGCGAACAACGCGCATAAATAACGGTGCAACACGGCGAATGCTTTTGACATTGCGCCAATTGGGTTCAACGTTGCGAATGCATTCCGCGGCAACATGGCCGGCGCAATGGCAACAACAACAAAAGCGTACACGTACCAAACAATAACAATGCATTAAGAGAAAATGCAACGGAAAGGTCACAGCATTAAGCGGTGATGTCAAGTGATGTGGTAACAAGTGCTTAATTCAAATTTCACAAACATTTGCAACAGTAACGGCAACAATTAATAATAAATCAAAACAAAATTATAAAGACGTTGAGTTGAGCATGTGCATAGATATGTATTTGCATGAGTGTGCGAGTTTGAACGGCATATCAAGGTACTAATGCAACCGCCGCTCTGCCGCCCCCAACAGCATAAGTTCAACAAGCCAGTTTGTGGCGCGCCATGGCTGAGCCATGTGGGCGGCTGCGCAGCAACCTCTTCACTTGGGCGTGCAACACACAGCCCGAGGCACCTGTGATGTCACAATGCCACAGTCAAAGCTATTCATTCCGTTAGAGTGCTGCCATTGACACGAGCAAAAGCGAGACATGTGCATAAAATCGGAAAATATGAAGTTATTAAACGAAAAATTTTATTGTTAACTGCCATTGAATGTGTGTATGTGCGCATGAGTCCATGTTGTTGGCTGAACATTGGAAGAAGCGAGCACTTATGTTCGCAGCTTGAAGATTCGATACTCGAAAATGTAGTGTCTTGCTTAAACAGTTACATTCACACTGTGCCATTACAAAGGCCAAAAGCCCCCAGCAAAAAGCCTATTCAAGCCTATTTCATTAACAAACTATAATGAAAAGCGAAAGTTACTCATACACCTGCCTGCTACCCGCCGGCGTGCAAAGCCTTTTATTTCGTTGCCTACATTTCGGGTTGTTTTTTTCTGTTTTGAGATGCCAAAACCACTTGTCTCTGCTGATGTTACCGCTTCGCTGACTCGCATCTGCATATCTTTGCTATATCACGACTTCGAAACCGCAAAATAATAGCAAATAAATGAAATTACAATCAATGGCGAAGAGTGGCGAATGGTTGAAGATGCGCCTACAAGCGATCGCGTGCGTTCGGTCAGACGCCAAATACATGTTTTGAATTTTCTACATTATAATTTTAGTTAAATTTCATTACATCAGTTATTTTCTCGACACTTTTTCATTTTAATTGCCTAACTTTTTATATGCAAAGTTTTACAATTGCAAGTTACTAATTGAACTTATTTTGTTGTTTCAGATCCTACGCAAAGTCGCAGTGATCGTGTACACCGCCTTGGACTACAACCTGACAGTGGATGAACAGTGTCAAATGTCACATGAGCTGGAGGAACTGATCGCTTACATGACAGCAGAAGGTACAGCTTAAACTTTATACCTTAGACTTTTAAGCATAGGCTTATTCACCACTTTAGATCGCATTACGTCAGGTCCATATTGTTGCATTTAGCATGCGTCCTACAGTACTTTGAGAAATAACTTGAACAACGCCAGCTTAAAATCTATAAATAAATTTGAAATTAATCAGTGTGGTTGTGGAATCCAAGACAGATTTGCGTAGTTGTCAGAAAACAGCAAACCAATTATTGTTTTTAATAGTGTCACAGAATCTGATTGTTTTTACGTTTTGTAAATCCTCTTAAAATATCAGGATTTTACCATAAACTCAATTATGACATTTTGTATTTTATTCTTATGTTTTTCCCTTATAGAAATAAAGATAAATTAAATTGTAACAATTATATAAATTAATTTCTTAACTTACATTTCAAATCTGTCAGCGACTATGCTCTTGCTTTGTTTCTGATAACCAAACCGATAAAATTGATTTCCGTGACACCCAAAGCCGATAAATTTCTGTTTCGAACGTCAAACCAATTATATCTGAATTCATGACAACTACTATATTTTTTTATCGGTCACAATTCTGATTCCGACAACTATCAGATTCTACAACACTCCAGATTATCAACACGTGATCCGCTGACCACCAGAAGCGAGTGACGAATCGACCCAGTCACTGCCGTTCGGTTCATTCTCTAATTTATTTGCTCACTTATATATTTTTTCCATTTTCTGGTTTATTTTTCATAAAATCAGTGCAAAATACGAATCGGTAAACAACAATATTTTGTACGTTGTTAATGCTCTCTTGTTTGTTCTCAATTTCGTGTTCGTTAATTTGGCGTTGTTGTTGTTAGTGAATTAATTCAGTTGTTACACTTTTTTGTGTTATGTTTCGATTTATATTTTGAATGTTCGTGTTGCTGTCGTAAATTTTGGTTTTGCGGGAAACCGCAAGCGTCATGTCACCATCTGTCCGTTATCTGCGACTCGCGATCTGCGGTCTGTAGTTGGCGATCATTGATCGGCGGTTTGTAATTCAGTCTCACTTCAAACTGAATAACATTTCCTGTCTGTCCGTGTGTTTTTTGTGCTTGTTGTATATCGCGGCTCTGCAACAGCCGTTGCCCGACCACGAATTAAGAGTGGGTCTGATTTTTCAAGGACGCGTGTGACTAGTGCCCTGCTTTGTGAACTTCGTTTTGATCGACGGCGAGTGGCACACAGCGCTAAGCAGTGACGTAGCGGGATAGAAACTAGGTTTGAATTGCAAAATACACAGATATTGCTTTACTTGCCGATTTTGCCTTTGTTTTCGCGAATGAATAACACATTTTGGATTTGGATCTCGATATTTAAATATTTTCTTCTTTTAGCAACTACAACGTCGAATGAAACTGTTATGTTTTACTGTTTAAGCATTCAACTAAATTAAATATTATCTGGTTTTCAGAAAACGATGATGACTGCATCGATGAGGGCATTGATGAGGGCCACCAACGTTGGGATGATGAGGGCGATGATGAGAAGTGGAATGAAACCAAAGAATTTGATTATGTGCTTGAGGTAAGTTTGGAAAGATACTTCAGAACTTCAGCAAATAAGAGTTTTTGCAAACTCTAACTTAATGTAATAAATAACAGCATAAGACGACTTAGGTAGAAATATTCTCCAAGAAAGTATTAGCTGGACTCGAAGGATCACTAATGTGATGTTATGTAATAAACAATAATCAATACCAAAGTGCTTCTAAGATTGTGATGTAAAGCTCTGTGATGAGCTGCAATACTCCAAATCAATTTAACTGATTATGATTGCTCACCACTCCTCTGCTTAGCCACTAGGGCCTGTCACCGACGCTTGACTCTTTCGGTTTGTTCCCACACTTTCTGTCACAAAATTGCTTGTATTCACTTACAAGCTGCATTTAACGAGCATAATTGCTGGACCGTTATAATATTTTAATGCCATTGCTATCGTTGCAATCGCTGGTCGCTGCGGCTATGCTGCAATGCCTGCTGTTGACTCCAGATCGAGTGTCCATTGAAGTGGTTTAAGGTGTGCCCGCTGGTTTGCTTTAATTTGCTTACTTATTATTTCTTATTTTATTTATTTCTCTTCGTACTTCACTTTGACAAATTCACTGTTACGGATTGACAATCAGATTACCGAATTTAGGGTCACTAGACCAATTATCTGGCAGCGCATTGTTGGTGTTGCAACACATTTGTTTCATAACTCTTGAATTGATGGAAAATAAGTCACACTCAACACTTTTGGAAATATAAAGATTTGCGGACCCTTGGAAGTTATGCGACAAATGAAGCTTTTTATGAGAGGTCTTTTCAAAAACCAGTCGAGCGCAACTGCGATTAGCTAACAAATAGAAATGTTTTTGCTGTGAATCGGAATTTGGAAACAAACCCAGATCATTCTCTAACAATTACTTTCGGCGGCTGCCGCTTAAGCTCCTGTTCAAAATTTGATCATATTCACTTTTTCGACTTTTTGGTCTCACCCAGGCAATTAATATAAACTTTTCTACTGAAGTGCGAATTGCGTGGTTACGTACCGCAAGCCTGCGAAGTGCGCAAGCTTTTCCTACCACCCATCTAGTTTAAGCGCCAGCTCGCTGTCTAATGCATATAGTTTTCTACTAATACACGCACACACACACATTCATTGCGTAGTTCCCCACAAACGTCCACGTGCATTGTAGGGGCCTCTGGCAACAATGGGTCAATAAAATACGTCAGCTGTCAGTGCGTTATAAACAAATGGCCAATATTCTAATGCCCGACAGTGTGGCAGGCAGTCAATTGGTTAGGCATCTCATAAGGACGGCTCAAGCTGAGCAACATTGGCGGCGTCTGGGCGCAGTGGCGATTGGCTATTGTTGTTACTTTGTTATTGCTTTGCTTCTGCACTTGCCGCACCGCAATAAGCCTAGCACTTGGCGAGCCAAATCGTTCAACATGTGCACCATTAAATGTGGCACATGCATTCATATGCTAACAGTTATAGAAAACGTGCAACATGCCACAAAAGGCGGTTAGAAATGACCACCAACGTACTCGTGCAACCAAGTAAACACATTTTGCTTAAGCTAATGCATGTGCATGTGTGTGAATGTGTGAGTGCGATAGCAAGTAGATTGCGGCAGCAAAGTTATGCAAAAACGCTGGTAGCTATGCAACGCTTTGCCATGTTTATTGTTGCTGGAATTTATGGCAATACACAAAACACACGACACAAATACACACACATGCATTCTTAGCATATAATATTTATATGGCGAAGTGCCAGCAAATGAAAGACAAAGGTGAAAGGTGCTCCTGACAAAAACTGGAAAAGTAGCTGAGCTTTTTTCAACAGAAGATTTCTGTCAAATAAATATTGGCACACTTCTCGGCGGAATTTTCTAGTCAGACCAGTTTTCCACAATATTTGTGCATTACAAATGGATAATAAAACTTGCAATTTTTCTTTCTACATTCGTATGTATGTAGTATGTACATGTGCCTGTTGGAAGTCAAGTGTCAGGTGCCAAGAACATTTGTTGGTGATCGGCAGGTGCGGAAAGTCTAAACTTCAAAGACAATCCAAGGTAGTAAACTCGGTCATCCGCCTAGCATTGAGCTCCGTACACTAAGGTGCGTCAATATGTAGAATGGGTTTGTAAGCCCCTTTATTTTGACAGCCAACTGCTTGAGAGTTTTACAAATATTCACATTTAACACACACTCGAACATTTCTCACGGGGAAACATCGATCAAAGATATATCAAAGCTGAGCGTTATATGTAAGAATATACATACATACTTATAAATGAGTCGTGTGTTGGTATAAATTGAATGAAATCGACTGGGAGCTAATTTGTATATAAATATGCATGTATGTATACGTGGGGTATATGTGGATATATACCAAATCCCTGCTCGTAAATAGCAAACTCAGTGAGACTACAGCAGTGCTGTTTAATTTTCCTCGCAATTTAACGGTAATAAATATTTCAAATACCCAATGCTTCTAATAACTCGCCATATTAATAACCAGTTCAGACATAATCCGCTTGTACAACACAATTTTTGCGGCTGCACAACTGGCTGAGCGAGCTGCTAGCAAGCGCTTATGCGCGAATGAGTGTTCACACATACACACACACATATGCAAGCGTATTAAGGTGCTCTTGGGTGTTTGTGTGCTTGTGGTACGTATCTAGCGGATATAACAAAACGGCAACATTGCATCCCAGATATCAAATCACCATAAACAAGGTTGCATAACCCACTCGCTGGCATTAGCTGCCGCCCCGCTACACGCCGCGCCGCACGCGCAGCTTGGCACCTTCACCGCAAGCGATAATAACAATTTTCACATTCAAATGAATATTAAGAATTGTTATTGTTGCTGTTTCGCTGTGTGGCAAGTGCGACAAATGGCTGCTAACCGGCGTTGGTTGCAGCGAGCATAAAAATTCCGTTGCCAACAAAGAAAGGAGGCGCGCGGTAAGTGAGCGTCGCTGTGGCATTGAAGCGTGTGATATTCACATTAGAATGTGATCAACGGCTGTCGAAGACCGGAGGTGATCGATGAAAAACAAAGAAGAAAGAAAGAAAGAGGAAGCGAACTGTTTCAGAGGCAGGGAAAGAAATGTTTTTTTGCTGCAGCGCAGCGGTCAGGCGTAACAAAAGCGGTGACTCAATCGCGGCGGCAGTCGATATGACAAAACAAATATGAAAACTGTAACAATTTTCTTTAATGAATTTTCACACGTAGTTGGCATTTTGCATTGCCTTTTTCACGCTTTGCTGTTAATTGTGCAGTTGCTGCGCGTTTTGCGGCTTTTTCAGCTATCAGGTAACAGTCAGGCGTGAAAATTTTCCAACTATGCAATAGCTTTATTCGTGCCTAAGCGCATGCACATTTGCTTTAACACTAAACATACATTGTTGTTGTAGCAAAGTTTAACTATCGCACACACCGCTGACAATGTAAACAAGTATTCGGCACTTGACAGTCAACGGAGTCGCTCAAGTGTGGCAATTCCAGTTCATATCTGTATTTACATACTCGAATACATGCTATTATGTACCTACATATTATATATGTATATTTATTTATATACAATGATCAATGCGAATTATTTAACTTGTTAGCGCTCCACTTCAAATTTTACAAATCGATTGTTCTCAAATCTAGTAATTTATTTTGACTTTTTTATTTACGCTAAATTGTTGTGTCATTTTTTTTATAGGCCTGCAAAAATCACGTTAAGCCCACTGTACCTGAGGAGCATTACAAGGCGGTCTGTCGTGCGCTGGTTACTGAAACAATCGAGTTGCGCATATTCCTGCAGCAGGTCTTGAACGATGGTGAGTGCAAACAATTTCAGTTTCTATTGCAGAAGAATAATTTTAAATAATCTATAGGCACATAAGTAGGCCACACAAATAACTGGGAAAATGTTTATAAGTCATATTCAAAATCTTAGATATTCTTAAACTTAGATATTTCTATACATAACATTTTGCCAAAATAACTGTCGTTTTGTCTTTTCATAGGTGCCGACAATCTCCATTTAGAAGCCGGTTCGCAAACATCCAAACAGGAACTGGCCAAACTGGGCTTCAACGATTGGGTAAGTCTTCAATACGCATTCTAGACAAAGAACGCTGACTGTAAGAAATATATCTGTTGTTCAGTAAACTCACCATTTCCATATGTGCAGCGTATTTACTTTTTTTTAGCATATTAAGCGCTCTTCTACTGTATTTAAAAAAACATTTATTTGGTAATGGTTATTATTGTTTTTGAGGTTTTAGTTGTAAATTAAAAATAAAACTGGGTTTACTTAAGATATATGTAACAGGAATTTGAATTATCGGTCAAAAGCATTCGGTCGAAAGCAGTCACACCCTTTGCTGCTATGAATTCTACGCACCTATTCATACTATTGATTCGAATGTTTGTGTGTTTGTGTTCAAAGAGCAATGTTAAGCACAGCACGCTATTTAGGGCTAATTCACTGTGATTATGCCCTTTAATTGAATTAGCTGAACCCAACAAAGCTCAATTTGCCAACACGCATATCGGAATCAGTGTGTGTGTTTCCGTTGCAAGTTATATGGTGGACTATGGGTAATGAATACCACTTGTGTTGAAGTTGCTTTGCTCTGTTACATAAGCAATCAAAGCGCAGATATACATATGTGATAAATACATATAAACATTGTTATCTCATCAGTACTCAACAAAGCCGAGTTGTTCGGTACGTAAGTTGTCACAATGATTTATTACCACGGTTTTTTCAAAAAGACAAGTGATATGTAGAGAAGAGAACACATACACATCGATATATTATATTAAAAACAAATGCCGCACCTCGATACATTTCGGTATTCGACCAAAAGGGCAGGTATTATAATAATTAATTCAGTTTGAGCCATTATGTCTGCTCTAATTATAATAAAAACATGGAAAAACAGTATTTTTTTAAAAACAATTTAAAAGCTAGCTTCGTATTGCTTTTATTTTACCGAACAAATAAGCAATTGTATTGCATTTCTGTTAAGCTTTGTGTGGCAATGTTGCCAGACTTTTCCAAATAACATGTTATACGCATGTTTTACGTACTTACGTATGCACAAATAGACGCACGTGTGTGTGTGCACGACCCTTCACATGACAATTATGTGCTCGCCTTAGTGCCGGCTTTAATGATCCACGCTTATTTTGTGACGGCCATAACGCGCTGGTTAAACGCTTGAAATCTAATTTGGTTATATAATATGTGTAAGCGCTTTCTTTTCAAATCATTTGTTGGCAATTCGTTTTGGTTCACAACTGCAAGTGACAACTCATGAGTTTAGAAATGCGATAAACAAATTTGTATACTCCCTCGCGAAGACCTATGCAGACAGTTATGTACATATGTATGTATTTCCGTTCATAATCTCATTGTCTCCAAAAACAGCGCAAAAACTTAGAGATCAAAGAAATGATCGAACAAACGTATGTGCAGTAACGGAAGTTGTAGTTAAAATAAGAAACTACTTTCTAACACAACCAAAAGCACAAATATAGACACACATATATGCATATAAAAATATAAAAATGTGTAAAAACATGTTTATACATTTTTATGTAACTCGTTTACTATCATTTTTATTTTAAACTAAGTATTATTATTTTCTTGGTTGTTTTTAATGCTGAAGTAACATTTTTATTCAATTATTTAATTGTGATTGCGCAGAAAAGTTTGGTAATTATCTTCACTCTTGCTAATTGCATAGTGTTATTCAATCATAGTAAAAAGGAAAGATTATACCATGTAGTATAAAGCTCACTTAAAGGGCTCTTAAATAGTTCCACTTTACTCTTTAAATTACTATCGGAATACTGGTGAGAGCTCATCAAGTGCGTGAGAATGTGTAAGCAGCCTTAATTGTCTGAATGAGAAGTGATTAGTAGAAACCATTAATAAATAAAATTTGTTGCATATCAGTAATATTATCTTCTGTCAGTTATATACACAAACTTCTTCTCATCATTTGTTAAAAATGTAGTACTTCTTCAAAATTGTTTTGTTCAAAGTACAATTTTTTCTTTTTCTCCTCTATTTCCTAATAAATTCAGCACTAACTTCTTCGATTGCTACTTTATGCTTCATAATTAATTTCTCATTTACTTCTTATCATTTCACCACTTTATGATTTTATTCAATTTACGCTCTATCTTCTGTCGCCTTTATCAGTGTCTTTTTGTGAATTGCGTCATGTACTATAGATATAAACATACACAAACACTTAAAGAGGAGAACAAATAAAATCACAAATTAAAATGAAGCAAATGTCGCTCTCCTACACGAACTCGCTTCGGGCTCTTATCAAGCGCCAAAAATCTGGGTAAATAGTCACAGCAATTTATAGTTAAACGGCCTTGCCAATGTCATTTGCTGTGGCATAATGATTGTGAATGTGTTTATGTATTTATAGTTCCAACTTCATTCATACTCACTGAGTTTGCTACAAGTATTTTTGTTTTTCCTCTAAAAAATAATAAACATTCGATGACAATTCAAATTCACACTTTATTTGCTCAATCGTGAGTTGCCACTCGGTTTTCATTGTCGCAGCTTGTTTATGCTTATGTTTTGTGTTAGTCTAAAGTATCTATTTGAAAACTATACGCAGACATCATAAAATAATGTACAATTGAAATATAGTAAGTGTCACTAAGTAAAGTGGCATAATTAATTGCGAGCCGATTTTGCATTGTTTAATTAATAAATGAACTATTTATACAATTTGATACCTTCAAATGTGAATGGCATTCAACAAAACACGTTCTCGTATTCTCTATTAAACGTTTTCTAAGCATTTGATATAGCAGCCTTGAGTTATTAGCTGCTGGAGCTATTGCATTAGTCTATGCTAACGTTTACTTATAAATATTTTTATAAACGGCTCAGAAAACGTAATTATGGTTTTGCATAGAAGCAACTAGTGATAATTATAAATGTGAAGTACATATGTAGGTCTACATTCGTCTTCAGTTTGGGGTTGTATCACTGTATTGCAAGAAACTAGGCTATGCAATATTTTGTCGGTTGAAGTGACGACCGCTAAGCAAACAATTTTTGTTGTCCAGACCTTGCGAAGTGGTGATGCACTTTTCTTGCCACTGCACTAAGACGGCCGCCATGAAAACAAACAAAATTACACAATGGACACTCCCCTTTAGTAGCGTTACACCTGCTTCTAAGTGGCGTTTTTAAAAAACTACTGCCATTTATATATTTTTGCAAATAGCTTACCCCAAGTAGCATAGCTAAAGCCAAAGTTCATATCAGTAAATTGATATTTATTCCGCAACTTGCAAAAACACATTTATCACACACAATTTTCTTTTCACACACTTCCTTACACTACATTTGCACTATTCTTCATCGCACAGACTCGCGCGCTGAATGCATAGAAATTTATGTATTAATCACTGAACCCTTTATATTTTGACATATTTTGCTATAAAACACAAAATTATTAAATTATTCACCGATTAAACATTTAGAAATAATATTTAACTTAAAATCGCGCATTCGCGAATTTATCACCGAATTTTAACAGATGACTTTAAAGCACGCAAGGAAGGAAACTGACATATGACAATAGCGCCAACCTTTGAATGTTTGAGTGGTTAGCAGAGTTGCATCCTGTTAAAAAGTTTAACATCAAAAATTAAGGAAACTAAGTATTAGAGAAATATTTTGTAAAAACAAGCTTTTAAAATTTAGACATTTTTGAAAGAAATAATAATGAAAAAATATGCTTTCTTCACATATACTTTAGAATAATTTAATACACAATGCTTAGTGTATACTGTTTTAATGCAACTCTGTGGCGTTAATCACCTGTTCTAGTCAACATCCGCTTTGTGTTGAATATTTCAAATGCAACTCTCAATTCGTCAGCTGTTCTCATTGGTTTCCGCCTAGTACTAAAGAAGACGTTAGCAAAGACAGAATAAGTTTAAAAGTGCAAAATTGCAATTAAATTATTTTATATTGTATATTATAATAAAGATATATTTTCAAATAAAAATACAGCAATATGCGCTGTAAAAGGTGTATAACTGCAAAGAGCGATAGTTTTGAAACTAAATAAATGCTAATATTAAGCATGGCAGAGTATTTGGTGCGGTTGAACAACGTTTTCGCAATCATTTGTGTAATCAGCAAACATCGTTTGAGTCTTTCGCCTCTTTGCCCTGCTATATGCCGCATATTTTTTCCAACATGAGGTGAGTGACCAAGTTACGCGAACAAAATTCAGACTATTTCTTCCATTTTAAGATTTGGTGATTTGCGACATCCGTCACGCTGCGTTGGGTGGCGCCCAGTCAACCAGCCCGTCAACAGTTAGTCACTCAGTTAGGCAGTCTACCGGTCAACCAACGAAGCGTTGTAATGTGTTGAAACTATTCACGCCAACGCAAAAAAATTTGAAAGCCACTGCTACTGTGCTGTAGGTGTTTGTCACTATTGTGACTTTAATCGACTACTGTTTGTCTAATGCCGCTATAAACGTACCAAATCGAACACCTTCCGGTGGAGGCGGGTGGGTGCGACCGAAAACTATTATACTGTAATATCTTTCAGTCACGGCTGCTGCATTTCAGTAGCAATTTACAACAACTGCGATACCCGCATTTGCGACGATTTTGTTGGCGGAACGCTCGTTAGGGCTCAGCCCAATTACACCAACATTTTCTTTTGCAAATTTTCAATCACATTTAAGCTAGTAAATATCAACGATTACGACGCAACAACGGCCGCCCCGCCACACTATCGGTTATGTTGTCTGTCGAGGCAACGTGTGCAAGAAAATTTTCCTGTTGCATATGCATGAGTGACTTGCCGCTTACCCACATGCTATGCAGATTTTCGCTTTGCGGAAGCTGTAATTCTTTGTTGTTGCCCCAATTTATTGGAACAATTTGCACTTTTTTCGTGCTGTTTCTTCGGTGCGTATCGTTGCAATTTCGCCTGTATTACACGTATTACTGTACTTTGCCTGTTAGTTTTGTTTTGCTGCTACTGCTGCTCGCTAACTTCGTGTTAGCTGTAATGAATGTACAGATATTGTAAAATCGCCGCTGCTTTAAACTTTTTCATTTATTTTCTACCTTCAATAAACAACATAATCGCCGATAAACAACAACAGCAACTGAAGTAGGAACAAGCCTAAGCTGTTGGCATATTTTGTTGTTATTTATGCTAATACAACTTGTTGTACACATACGGCTACTATAGCATTTATATGTTACGTGCATGTGCCAGTTGTTGTTGCCTCCTGCTGGCTGCTTTACATATTTTCGCGTTTTGGCAGATTTGGTTCGTTAAATGTTGTCGGCTGGCATGTTAAATCATCATTGAATTGCATTGCAAGCACAGCGTCTGGGCCAGCAACAAAAAGGCGGGTGGATATTTCCAAGCAATCTGCATTGATTTGAAATGGAATTGTTGTAATCGCGCCACGCACACTTCAAAGCTTTTGATCGTTTGCAGCAAAGAAATATTAATTGCAGTACAGGTGCAAGGAAGTATTTAGAGAAGTTTTTTTCACTGTTGAACTCTAGTGACGTGTTGTAATAAGAAAGGAAGAGGAAGTAGGACTGTTTTGACGTTCGACGCTTGCTGTGATTTTTCTATGTGAACACATACTTGTATTAATGCACAAGCAGTCTTTTTTATCATTTCTCACATGAAATATTTTGCTACACAGGGTCTAAAGCATACCTACTACATGGTAACACACATCATCGATTGATTTCAAAATCGAAAATACCCGTATTTGTAATACACGAATAATCAAAGAAATCAACACAATGTCACTCAAAAGAATTCCATTACAAAATCTGGCTTAGGCACCTACGCAATCGTTGACCAAACACACACGCCGCGGCGGTCGTTTGTAAGTTGAACGTCGCCATCAACGAGTTCAGGCGAATTTTTTGACACTTTGTTTGCTGTTACATAAGAATTATACAAATTACGACAATATTATGCAGTTGAAATGATTGAAATAACAAACGAAAACAAAACACAAACGAGAAATTGGAACGAACGCGCGTCAGGAAAATTAAACCGGTCTCACGCACATATTCGTTGGCAACCGCTTCTCACTCTTTATCTTCAACCTCATTGCAATAAACGAAAATACCCAAGATAATAATAAATAAACAGCTGTCGGTGCTTAACGCTCACCAAAGGGTGTAAATTAATTCAATTGTTTCGTCGCTTACCGCGGCGATGACAAATTAGATACTTGATGCATTTTGTGCAACTGCACGTAAGTCGGCTTGACATTCAACAGAGCGGATTAATAAAATGCGACGAAATATATTCGAAACCATTTGCTGATATTTACAAGTGCAACTGAACGATTTGGAAATTATTATTATTATTTTGGATGATTAAAATAACATTTTATTTAGCATACAGTTTCCGACGAAGCTCTCTACTTTACCGCCCAAGCATATTTTTTATGATTGCTGGTAAAAAATTAACGCAAAATGTCCTTGAATAATTATAGCTATATAAGACTTGTAACGATATGCCATAAAATGTCGCGTTATTTGTCGTAGAAGTCATTGTGTGAATCCATGACATGTATCAAAGTAACATTTACTTCTCTTTTGGTATTAAAATTGTTTACATGTCTCCAACGGCAAGGCGAAATCATTAATAATTCACCGAAATGCAAAGCGAGACCATATGTTGCAACGTTTTATTAATTGCAAGCGAGTATAAATTTTGCACTCTCGCCCGCAGTCATAATACGCCACCACACTGCGTTGCTTTAGACCTCGTAGCGCTAAAAAAGCAATAAGTATTGTAAATAAATAAATAAGCAAAAGTGAAAAAATGCAAGACAGCACAATTTTTCATAAATTTATCGCCAATGAAAGGATCTGCGTGCGAGTGTGGCAATGCAAACAATGCCGCTGGCATAAAATGAAAAACAGCAGCAGCAACAACAACAACAACTAACATGACAGTCGCAGCAACATTGATCGCACTTGCAGCACACAATAATCAGCGTGTTGCAAGTGAAAGTCGCTGTGCGCCACACTGCGGCACTGCGTCGGTGCAATGGCAGCTGAGTTAGCCAAGTCGCTTGGGTGCGGACTTCTGCACGCCGCGGCGCAAAAAGTAGGCGTGTGCCGTGCGTTTGTATGTTTTCGTGACATTAATTAATGTGACGATTTCAATTTCATTTATTCGGCGGCAATTGCTGCTGCGATTTCTTAAATTTCAATGGCGACTGCGCAGAGCTCGAACGAAAGCCAAAGGCAACAAGCAAAGAAGCCCGCAAGAAGAGTGGATAACTGCCAGATAGCGATTATGTGTGCGCGCCGCTTTGCTTCTGTCTGTTGGCGAATGCTTTGGCAGCGTAGATCGATGCTGCAAGTGCAAAATTATGCAATTATCGTGTTTCTTTTGCTTTTCTTCGGATTTATTGTATAGCTGTTTACACAGCCTATGTTTATAACGGCAAATCGATTATGATTTGCAATCCTCCTTTCCACGTGCAATTACAGCAAAATACCATCTTAGCAATAAAATTGTGTATTGCAGATGTTTTTGTTGCATTTTAGCGTGTTGCATCGATATTCTTTGATCTCGAAGACGCGCCATCTGTTTGTTTAGGTTCTTGCGTCTGTCGAAAATTGTTTGGATTTATCAATGTTTGTCATTACACATACACACATGTAGTTACCTATCTAACCTTTGATTTTCCCGATCTAATGTAAATAATATTACAATCTTTGTATGCAATACAATGCTAAATGTTTTGTGGCAATGCTCTTATAATTGTTTTGCGCATAAGATTATAGGAGCATTGAAATTGAGATATTCTTACCAGTTTTTCGGTTGAAAATTAATTTGAAATATATCAAAATATTGTTTCCCTCTTTTTGAAACTAAAGCATGAACTGGAAATTTGGAGGGCCCTGCAAGTACGTTCCAGCTTATTTCTTTTTAACTTTTTACAAAGATTTTTTGCAAAAGAATATTATATTGCATTAAAAAACTCATAAACACACATTTTGAGTTATTAGTCAATTTGATCTTAGATTTTACACAAAATCGAATGTGTTTAACGATATTTTAAATTCTAAGTTACCAAAGAGATATAGCGACTTTTTTCTTACTTTTATCAAAAATTACAAAATTTCTTGTCGCCTTCGTTATCAGTCACGTTTTGATCCTTCTATTACATTTGTTCTCGCATGCGATTTTTTCTTATAGCTTAGTTGTGACATATTTCGTATTCTTTTCTTTCGTAATTTTTCTTATGAATGCAACTTTAATTTTCAGGCACGTTTCTGGGTTCAGGTGATCGATGAGCTGCGGCGCGGTGTGCGTCTGAAGAAAAACAATTATTCCCGCACACCCATTGAGTACGAGTTGACTCCGTATGAGATACTCATGGAGGACATACGATCCAAGTAAGTTATGCTAGCAGATACCGATTTAGTCAAGAATTTATGCAGGTTACATAGAAAGAAAGAGTGAGAATACGATATGCCTTTATCCCTCCTATTCCTTTCAGCTTATCTCTCTCCGCAAACCATTTCTCTTGACTCAATATCGTACTTTGTAACATTAACTTTAATATTTGATTTATTTAAAAGTATATATATTTATATATTTCTCTCATCCATAGAAAGTACCAGCTGCGCAAAGTGATGGTGAACGGTGATATTCCACCACGCGTGAAGAAAGATGCCCACGCCATGATATTGGAGTTCATCAGGTCACGGCCGCCACTCAAAAAGGTATGTCCCACCACACTCAAACGTCCCTGCCCTGCGTTTCCCCCGAATAATGACGATCATCGCCGCTTCTCGCTTGCATCGCTTGCACATAGTTTCACTGCTCATTTTGGCACAGTTGTGGTTTTAGGATTTTATTGGTTTCATCATCGTTGTTTGCTTTGGAAAAGTTTTGCCTTTGTGGTTGATTTTTGGAAAAGTGTTAAGTGGGTAATTTTCATTGCACTTTCCTGTGGTAATTGCCAATAATCGCATTGGCGAAAGAGTAGCAGTGAAACAATATAGGAGGGGAGCTTTCCTACAAAAATTACAACTTTTCTTCGTAAAATAAACAATAATATATTTACATTCAACTAATAGTGAAAAGACGCTCTTTCGTCTTAATTGAAAACCCTTCAGTGAACCAAAATCAATATACTCGTAAAAGTCATATTTAGTGGAGAGATTAAATTAAATAATAAAAATTTATAAATCCATTTCATATATACCATCTCCTTTATCTACGTAATAAATTTTATTTCGAGTGTTTTTCGATCTCTGACATTTAATGTAATTGCAGGCGTCCGAACGTAAACTACCGCCACCCATTAAACGCACACCATCGCCGCGCGAACAACTCATGGACTCGATACGAAAGGGACAAACACTGAAGCACATACAACCGCCAACACCGCCCCGACTCAAGGATCGATGTAAGTCAAAATTAAATTAAATATAATCTAAAACCGAATAAGACCACAAACACATAGAAAAACACGCAGTAGACAGACTATAGACACGAATGGAATACAACACTACTGACTCGGAATTCGACCACTTCCACGGATATTAAAACTGTACCTAGAAGAATAAATGCCAAGCCTTCTGCAACAAAAAGCGCATTGCTTGGTAAGACATATTCAAGCACCATAAAATATGCCACATGCTGACAGCGAACGCCTGACTGTACAACTGCGCTCGACATCGCAGCTCGCTGTTCTATGCTCGCTACGGCTTTGTTGCAAGTAATTTGAATTTCATTTGACTACTCGTATTTAGGCACGGCAAATCTCTCGTTTGTTTAGCAAATGCCAGACATTAGCTATTCTCGCAGTGTCTTGCAGCAATTCAATGCGAATGCGTTCGATCGCTTGCGTAGCATCTCTGCGCATGTCAACCTGCACCATTCCAATATGTTCTATTGAATGCCACAGTGGTTACAACTGCATAACGATATTGCAACGTTTTTACATAAGTTTGTATGTGTGTGTCGTGTGCTAGCTGTTGACCACTGTTGATGCTGCCACAAAGTGGCACGATTGGCGGCTCCAAACTTGGACAATGTTTAGCATGATTTAGAATTGCAAAGTGGCGTGGAGCGCGCTACGCTTTGATCAGCGAATTGGCGCTGTTGTACGATTTGTCAGCTGACAAAAACAGTGTGGCAAGTGAAGGATTTACTATTGCCTTGCACTCCTGGTGAGAAAGATTAAGGAAATGTCACAAATTAGCATTACTTCAAAAAGTGAACTCGCCGGGGATTCTGGGGATTGTAGCAATTCAATAGGGGAATTTAGATAGAAAATAGGTAAGATTATCTAGAATAGTTATGAATGAATCTTTCGGTGTATATTAACATTATGGTAACCACAAATTTTTAATACAACCATATGCTCGGTGTTTGGGAAGGATCCTGGAAGTGAGACCATTTTGCACGTTTAAGAAGCTTTACGTTTTAGTTCTAGTTGTTGGTGTAAACAGAATTTGAACCTGACTGCAACAACGCTATTAAATAATTTTCAAGGTCTCGTCATCCAGCCATTTATATTTCTCTGTGTGTTATTTTCAAGAAAGGCATGTTTTTATATTTGCTAGCGATGAGTTGTGTGGCAACAACATCCATTTAACTATAAAAATTATAGAAGCGCTACTTATTTTTCTTTGCATACTTTTAGGCGCGTTGCAATAAGTTGCACTACTTCAAATGTGTATGTGTTTGAATGTGTCTTAGCAATTTCCTTCGCTCCGCACAACAGCGACTTCAGCTAAACAAAAGTTTTCAAGCGAAGCTTTCGAAAGCTTTGTGCTGCAGTTGTAACCATTTGCATAACATTTGCATTAGTATGTGTACGCATAGCTATGTTTACTTGTAAATTGCAATTTACTGCGCTACAAAATACTTTGATTTGTGATAACAACTTGTCACTTACATAGTGTCCGCCACAAAGGAAGCAGCGACATTTTGCTGAACGTTAAGATTTTTCGTGTAGTAAAATTTCGTTGTTGGAAATATTTGTTGTGTTTGTGTGTGTGTGTGGCAATTGAAAGGGGTATCCCTTGCTTAACCTAACTTTCTGTCTAAGTGATAGGATGCTCCAGGTAAGATTAAAAATATAAACTAATTAATCTAGATGATATTGAAGCAATAACGATATACTGACCCAGTGTTGTTATTGGGAATAAAATTGAACCTGTACTTGTGTAAGAACTGCGGTGATTGCCATTTCCGTTTTTTTGTTTATTATAGTAAATGTCCTACTGTCAAACATAATAAACATTAGTTTTAATAATTTTTACTTCGCTAAAATGTCATCGACGCGTATATGTGTGTGCAGCAACAATTCTGCTGGGCGCCACGCTTCTCCGATCAAAATAACTGATCGAAAAATGTCAACAGAAACTCTATATTTCAAAGAAAGTACTCCAATGTCACTCATGTGTGAACTAATTTATGTATACGATCGATATTGGATAAGGAAATATTTTGAAGCATAAATGTACCCTCTTTAACCGACTTGCTCTAAGAAATTCGCCATTCTCCATCCGGATCAATGATGCAACTCTTATAAAACGGCTAGCTATATTACTTTCCAAGCCTATTATTTACTATATATTTTTATTGGTGCATTGGAAATGCAAATATGAGGAAAATTTTAATCACATTAATAGCAAAATAACATGGATTGTTCAATTAGCATAATGCCAACGAGTAAACACCGACTGCTTAATATAATAGTTGCGCAATCAAATAAACTAACAAAATTAAGAATTTTAATTAACACACTCACTTCATGCTGCCACTTACCCACAGAGTGAACTATCACACGGTCGTATTCAGTGTGTATTTAGCTATACATATGGACAATGTAAAACTAAGTTCACATATATCTACTGTGTGATTTGCTGGTTGCAATCGAATCCACTATCACTTTAACGCTGACGTCACGCATTCGCTCACCTACATAAATCGTTTCAGCATAAATGCATTTTAATTTTTTGCTAAGCTTTGCAATGTGACGTCAATATTAAGCTCCGTGTTGCATGCCACAATCTTGAAATTGCTTATACTTCGCAACCCTTACTGTTGAGCTTTCTGCGATATTACTTTGCGCTGTGGCAATGCGCTGGCGCCATAACAGTCGAAACAAAGTGGCATTTTGTGCTCAAAACTTGCTCTCACTGCACCCAGTAGTTACTATTTATGTGCATACCATACATGCGACTGCTCCACACAAAGACATCTATGGTAGCATTGATTGGTCTTTAGTGAGCTTCCCTTTAAATCTTATAATTCCAAAAAATGCCATTAAGAATTGTAATCGTATAAACCTTTTCTTTAAGTATTACTTTGAAGGTAAGAAGAGTGGATTTTATGTGTGAGCCAAAAAAGTAACATAATAGTAGGTAGTGGGGTGCGCCCCATTGTAATTCATTGGTCCCGCTTTTAACGACTATCGACTTCGTTGTGCATTCGTACAACCGCCTAAGGAACGGGGGCAAGTTCTATAACCGTGCGCAAGCCACAGCGAACGTGGAACAACCAAAACTTGGTCATGGTGAGCATAAACGTCAACGAGCTGAAAATGGAACAGCAACAAAAGCCAGCTGCAATTTGCTCCCGGTGGCTTTTGGTTGGCTACAGCACGAACACGAATTTCAGTTTGATGTCGGACTTTCTGCGAAATGGTGTGTGAAACGGAAACGTGATTAACGCGCTAGCGTTTGGCGAATATAAAATATCAACAAAATAAAAAATAACGTGACGCGAACGTTAGTGCTAACGGGATAGGTGTTGTGTGCGCTGTGTAGCGTGTAGTTGGTGGCATGTACAATATTTTCAATAAGCCCACCATATAGTGATAAACAAGTGATGGTCAGCATTACCATAAATGTGTCGCGTTAGAAAACGAGCGAACAGCGGCGCATGGCTCTATGCCATTTGGAAATCGTGCTCCTTGCATCTGTACCGAAGCATATGACACTTACTGAAATGCGGGAAGTCGCATCAAATGGGAAGAAAGGACACTGCTAGAGGTCTTCTTTTAATTTATAAATATGAAAAGCGCTTTTCATTGCGAAAGTGAACTTAAACAGCACAACACACTCAATAACAAAGGTGGCTTCCCCTACGTATGCTATGCCATAATCACTAAGCTCGATAGCAAACAAACTGACTGAGCTATATATTGCAGAAGTTGCATGCAATTGTGGCTGGTAAAGTGCACAAATGCCTAAAAATAAATTTAGATCTATGTATGTACCCAAAATCTATTTATGCAGCGTATTTATGTAACTACATAAGTACCTCGACTGGTGGGCTTACTTAATTTATTTAATATAAATATGTATTAATAATAGATTATGGAGGTGGACAGTCTTTAAGCAACGGTAACAGTTCTTTAATTTGCTAAACTTTTCAAAATTTATTGTGCTCTTAAGTATACCAAACAATAGGAATGGTTCGTGCGCCTTGAACTATGCACTGAAAAAAATATTCAATTCAATTAGCACACGTGAAGGCCAAAGCGTTATTTCAGTGAAAGTTTCAGAATAAATACCGTATTCTTAAATTCAAGTGCTCTCACTCTGTTCGCTGTGTTGCACTCGAGTTGCATTCATACACACACACACTGATACAGTTTAGCATCCTTCGCAATGATATTCTCGTCGTGATAATTTGTTTACTACAACCACTTAGTGTTATCGTCAGTGTTGTTGTGCATTATTATTGCCACAACTCTTAACTTAATCGCAACTCTTAATGCTCATGCGAGTAGCTCATAAAGCAGACGGCACACCTCCCACGCGGCGCACCACACTGCCCCAGGAAAGTGTTATATCCTTCGTTTGTACATTTCGCCAATTCGCGTTGCCACTCACCGGTTGCCGTTGTGTGTTTCAGCTTTGGATCGATAGCAAACGGAAAGCGCTCATGCTCACGAGCGGCATAAAAGTGTCTGCGAGCGCTTAAGGGAAGCTTGTGCGTACGCCGTGCAACAAACGAGCCAATGGAACATTGTGGAAGTGAAACACCCCAGTGTGACACAGCAAAATGTGACGAGCGGCACGAACTTGTGATGAAGCGATTAATACTCGTTTAAAATTAGCAGTGAAAGGACGGCTGTGAGTTTTGGCAAGGCACTCAATAATTGAGTTGAAGGAAAATGTTGGTGTATATAATATGAAAAGTGCAATAAAGAATAGTGTAATTAACAGTTAAGTTATGAATAAAATATGCGCCTAAATAAATGCTGATTTCAAAGGGTAGCGCGTTCTTATAACGGTATCCACAACAAGTGCAATAAATCAAGTAATTAAATGTGTTCCATTTCCAATGAGTGCTAAAGTGCCAAATGTCAAAAAGCAGCATCAGCAGCAGCAACAAGAACAACAACAACAAACCAAACCGAAAAGCTTACCGTCTAAGAACAACAAAACCAGCAGCAACAACAGCACAACCACAACAACAACAAAAGCAGCAACGCACAAAAGTAGCAGCAAAACAACAAAGATGACCACCACCAGCGGCTTTGTCGCGCCCAACACATCAGCCATGTCCGCTTCCGCTGGCGCCGATTTAAATCACACAGCCACGGAAGCCAAGGAGGTGGAGGCGGTGGACGTGGCCAGTGACGCTTTCTATTGCGGTAGCAGCGCGCAAGAAACGCAAAAACAACAGCAACAGCCGGAGACAGAGACAGAGACGGAAGATCCGCAGCCGCCGCCTAGAGCAGCGCCGCGCGGTAATCCGCCAACGCCAAAACCACGCTCAGGTAAGGCTTTCGGCCGGCTGCAGGTGGAATATTCGCAAAGTGACCTGGTTTTGTCGATGCATTATAGTTGAGAGTGCCGTGTAATGCTGCCCCTTAATGTCCAATGCACCTCGCTGCAATAACTGGGACAATGCATTTCTTACAATTCTCACAGTTGAGCGCTTTCTTATATTCTGAAATATTTATTTTATGGTTGGAATTTAAGCGGTGAGTCCTTTGAAGTTAATCTTTCCAGTTGTCGAGATCTAAGGCTGCACGGTGGTGCATGCAACGTTATGTTTTCTGTGCGCAATGTGTTACCTACAAAGGATTGTGTGCATCGATGAGTCCGCTTGCAGCGTTCGGTTTATTCTGCACTTACACTTGCTAAAGAACACACACGCACACACATGCAACTCTTTATATGTATGCACATATGTACGCACCAATACAAGTGCTCGCGTAAATGGTAAATATGTCCTATCGAGCATAAAACAATAGCTATGAATGTGGCAAGTCCATGTGACCCATATTCTTGGTTTCCATGGCATGAGGCCAAATAAACTAACACACCTCTACCAAGTGCCAGTACTCACATACCGTACATACAAACGAGTATGTGCTGTACGCTGGAAGTGCGCACTCAGTTCTTGAACAGTTAACTGTGGACATAGGTATATATGAACACATGTATATATGCATATTTGTACTTAAATAAGTAGGTGAATATGCCTTTTACTATAAAAAGCGCTATACGCTTTCAGCGTCCTCCGCTCTCCTCACATAGTTCCGAATGTCGCTTTGTTCGCAAGCGTGTTGCAAGTTGCTGTGGGCAAAGTGTTAGTCCAAATCATTAAAATTTCATGTTACCGCATTGTGCTCGTATAAGCTTTTAAGCGCTTAAGCTATGAGCTGCAAGGACTGAGGCATTCTAAGTAATCGCGCGTAAGTGCAACAGCACAGAATCTCAATATTTTTTTAGAATTTATCAATTGACAGTTTTAGTTGAATTTTGCGCTAAAAGCTTGCTAATCTGTGTATGTGTTTGTATATTTTTTGCTTTGTGGCCGTCGTTGGGACGGACAATTTGTGGATGCCGTGAATGCGTATCGATTTTTAATTAATGTGTGTTATTCACTTCTAGACAGAGACTTACAAACATGCTGTCTGTGGGCTATTCGAGCTCTTTAATTACGCGCCGACTAATATTCTCTTATTTTACAGTTTTGTTTTGTTCGCTGCTTGTCTTGTGATCAGTTTGTGTCGCACTGTCAAATAGCTTTGCCAACTTGGTATAATGCGTATGAATGGGTTCTAAAACTATTTTTCTTTTTGTTTTACAAGAATTTGTGGTCCCATCTTGCATTCATACTTGTAGACATGTGAATGCATATGTACATACTTATACACCCATACATAACAATTATATATACTATAAAATTAACTGAACAAATCGGTATTTTGTTACCCTTTTTTTGTTTTTGCTTGGGTTGCCTCACGCACTATTTTACTACGAAATTTATGTTCTTGTGTGACACAATTGCTGACAGAGCTAGTCATTAAAACGGGAATGGGGAATGGATAGAAGCCTTGACACTTCACCACTTGATGTTGAAAGTAGCTTTTCGTCAAACGCTATTAGCAAATGTTTTGTTGAAATCTTGATTTTCAAGAAAACATTAAATAAGTTGATTTGACTACTGTTTGTTTTATTACTGTTTACTTTTATAAGAAAAAAAGTTAACGAGAGTATACATAATTAAATTGACTTATTTGTAGACTATCCTAAAGAGTTTGCAAACACTTTTTTATAGTTCAGCAAAAACTATACTTGATTTCCGTCGCTCTTCTTCTTGATTTATTTGCGTCATATATGCGCTGGTTACTGAATTAATTAACTTTTGCTTTTATTTTCAGTGCTCCCACCAACCACAACACTAATGACAACAACAACGCCAGCAACAACACTGAACTATTCATCATCATCTGCAACATTAAAATCCGCAGCAGCAGCAGCAACAACAGCGCCAGCACATGCAACGGTGAATGCACTGAAATTAACGGAGAACGTGGAACCGCATCTGACGCCGCGCTCCAAGCAGCGGCTAATCAAAGTGGATTTCTCGCTGTTGCAGGTACACACACACATACATATATACATAGCGATATAAACATACACAAATGCATGCTCGTTGTGCTAGTACTCCTACGCCGTTATATGTATTGTGGCAGTAGGCCACATTATTTGATAATAAATATTTCAGCGGGAACCGGCGATTATGCAACGTTGAAATTGTATAGTTTAGAAAGGCGGCTTGACTTAATCTGCAAAGCTTGAATTTTCATCTAAATCAGTAGTTGGTTGCTTTGAGGTGCATGTGCGCAGGTGAACGCTGTGTCGTGGCAACTTGAAGGGCTGCGCTCCCACGCACAGGCATGTAAACACATGCATACTCCTCCATACATACATACATATGTGCATACATGCATAATAACTGTACACCGATGAGTTGCAAAATAATGATGGATTCGTGACATAAATTACCCAATAATTTTTCTCGCTTCTGGCTTGGCTAAACGCTGGCCCACTTCAACGCCGGTTATATCACAAGCACGTCTCACATATGCATGTCTGTATGTATGTACCTAACGTTGATTTTTGTAAAATTGCAGTTGACCTCGTGCGCCTGCCAGTGGTCCTGCACGCAATACTACTTGCTGCACATGTGGAAGTAAACTCATTGCCCAAACTCAAACAAAATCGCAATAAACAAAAAAAAATCACCAAACAGCAATCAACGTCGCTAAACATTTCAAGAAACTCGGCGCAAAATTCACTGTAAGTTGAGTCCAAAAGCCCACAAGCAACAGTTTACAGGTAAAAACTGAGAAATTCTTTTTGCCTCCAAAAACCAGAGAAAACACATTAAATCCCTTTCTATCGAATTAGTTACTCACGTACTTATGTAAATATGTGCATAAACATATATATACATAATAAGTGCATATGTATTAGGGTGGAGCGAAAAATTCGTAGATTAGAAAAAAAGAAAATTTTTGGAAGAAACAATTTTTTAACATCTAGAGGCGCCCCTTCACTTTTAAAGTAAATTTCGAGTTAAAATTTTTTTTGGACAAAATAAAAATTATTTTTGGTTGAAATTCTTTACATTTATGTAAAAACTACCGAATTCGACGATTTTTGACTCAACATTTGTTTTAACGCTTAAGAAAAGCATGTTGTCGTTTAAGACTTTTTTTTTAAACTCAAATAATGTTCATAAAAAATTTTTTTAAGTTGAAAACTTTTAATTGACCAGAAAGGTCAGTCTTCTAGAACACTTATCAAAAATTGTTTACGAAATATTAATTTTAACTAGAAATTTACTTTAAAAGTGAGTAACGTGAGGCGCCCTCTAGTTAAAAAAAATTTTTGCCCAAAAAATTTTATTTTTTATAATCTACAAATTTTATCTTCAGGCTAAGCCAAAAAAAATTGTTTTCGCGCCACCGTAATATGTATGTATATTCAATGACCCAAAACCTAAGCACACGCTTAATTGGCTATCGCTTTCAGTTGAAACTGTCAATGGCAACCACTTTGCGGCTTTGGAAAATTATTGGAGGCAACTGCCAAAAGAAAGAAATTTTACAAATGGCAGTGAAAGGAAGTGGATGTCTGGAGGTGAAATGGAAAGTCTTTTGCATTGAACGCGCAAATAATACTCAGTGACAGTTTGAAATTAATTATGGGAGACGTGACTTTTGCCTAAACAAAAGCTGAAGTGAACAACAGAGGTTGACAGTAATCGCTTTTTAAGTTTATTTATATTAGTTTCAAAACAAAAAATAAACTCAAAAATTAAATAAAAAAACGAAATAAGCTGAATAACATAAAATACCTTCGTACTCGGTATGTAGCTGTTAGGCGACTTTTTATTTTACCTTTGCAAGAACTGAGCTAAACTTGAATTTACCATCAAACCACCTACCAGTCAGCATTATTTTTTGCAAATATTTTATTCCCGAAAATTCAATGCAATGCGAATTCACACATATTTACAATCGGAAATAAAATCACATGTACGTCTGACACACACACCCACTCGCCAACCGTTCGCTCGCAGTGGCGCATGACAACGCCCATTGAAATCAAATACAATATACTCACTATGCAGAACTGGTGATTATCTTTAGGTGAATGTGCTGTCAGTTCACTACACTTCATCGCCAGACAACAAAAACATGCTAAGGATTACTCATACAGCAATTTCTGAAAGCTATTTTTAATATATACTTGTATTTCATATGTTCTTCTCTCACTCTCTTCACACAGGACGATGACAATTTCTTTGATGAGCCATCGTCAACTGTCAGATATGGCAACTGTCACAGCGCACATGTCGGGATCTGTTCGCAGCCACAAATGCCTCCTTACCCGATCGGCGGCTACATGACGCTGGGTGCTGGCTATGGTGGGCCAGCGAGCGCCGTGACCAATGCCAACGTGAAAGGACACGCGCCTACAGCACAGTTGCCGTCAGCGCTGACTTCACGGGTGCTACGACGAACAAGTAAGTTTTGCTGATTCCGTTACAATTTCTGGCACATATACGCCATAGTGTGTGTGGTGAATGATAAAGTTCATATTGAGTTTGGTATTCCGAGTGTGATCGGTAAGTAAGCCACAACGGCAAATCAAATCAAAATTCTTTAGGCACTTGTTAGAGTGCAGCATACTTTTGGGAGTGCGTCACTGTTCGGAATACCACCCAAGTTGTTCTCAATTCTCTTGTAATTATATTTGTTGTCTGATTGATTGGCAATGTATTTCTTATTTGCTTTATATTAGTTTGGTTTTACATATTACAAGTATTTTGTTTATTTTATTTTATTTTATTTTCATCTAATGGATTTTTATTATTGTTTCTACTTTTCTTTTCTCCCACTTTTTTGCGTTGGATTTACACTTATAAATTGGTTAATGTGTTTTATTGAAAAATAATGATAATTTGTTTTTGCTTTCGGTATGTTTAAAGGTATTTGATTGGTTTTTATTTGAACTAAAATGCAATGTACACCATAATTATTTATTATACTTCATTTGTTGTTATTGTGAGCACAAAGAACAAAAACAAATCGACGAAAAGAGGAATTAGAGATATGCTCTTTTTTGCTCGATTGCGCGATTTTATAAAAAATATAATTCGCTTACTAAAAAAATGCGGTGAAGGTTAGGAGCTCAACAACTAGTATTTGTAAAAATTCTGCAATCCTTAAAATTATTAAAAAAAAAATTCCAGTAGTGTTGATTGGAACCGGTTCAATAACTTGACCAAAAACCTCCCGTTAGTCAGTTGAAACACCAAAAATCTCGAATAAGTATTTATATGTAATAATTTAGAACTAAGAAGAAATAAATTACTGTAAAAATATTCTTTAAGTTTGTAATGTATATAAATTAGTAGTTGTGCATGTTAGTTTACGCCGTTATTGGAAGGTGTATGTAGAACCACCTGCCTATAGACCCTTCCCGATTCTTTAACTTAATGCAGTTGCCTTTTTGTTCGAGCATTATCCGATAGAAATTCTGAAAAATTTAATTCCAAAACTCAAATTTTTAGCGTTTTCGTCTCAAAGCAAATACACTAAAAATTATTTCCCATGTATTCTCCTCTTTACAATCAAATGCGCTTTAAATAATGTAAATGCAAATTGAAAATAATGAAAATCGCCAAAATTGTCTAAATGGAAAATTTTACTGTAAAATCCACCCAAACGCGCCGTAAATTATGCAACGAAACATTTATGCAGAGGACTCGTACACCGAGGATGAGTACCATAGGTTCTTCGACAACGCGCTGGAATGTAAATATGATTATATTTCTTCTTCACTATTTCCTTCTATCTCTTATTCATTCATCTGCTCGGCAGCCTTCAAATCATATTCGCTTGAAATACATACATACATATTCAAACATAGCTTCAATAGAACAATAAACTTTACGCTTACTCGTGAGTATATACATATGTGTCCATTTAAATTTATGCATAAATAGTTTAAACTGGCTTTTATAATATTCCGAAGCAATATCGCGAATCGTTCACATACATATATACATCTAATGTAAGCCCATTTCTGTGCGCGTGTTTCCATAAAAATTCATGTATTTACATATATACATACACATGTGTGTATTTGGTTTACCAGTTATTGCCATTCCATTCATTCGCTTCGTTTGTGCTGCATTCGCATGTAACTCATTCTACATACTACGCGGAGACCACCGTTAAGCGCCTAAAATGCCACACAGAACTCATGCAAATATGCTTTCGGACAAACCTTGTCTGTAAATAAAATTAGCCGGTCTTTTTTTTATCAATTCACACGCATTCTACGTGGGTCATTCTTTGTAATTTGTTCAATTAGAAAAGGAAAAGGAAAGCAACTCAATTGAACTCATTTGCAAATTTTTCGTCGTTACTTCCATTGTTTTTCTGTGTGTGTTTTTTTCCTTTTCATTTTTAGTTAATGCCACTCGATTTAGATTTGATTGCATGTGCTCTCGTGTAATTTTATATAAAACATTTCTATAATAGCAAATTTTAACTTGAAATTTTCTTTAAAACTGAGTGGGTCTCTAGATATTAAAAAAAATTGTTTTATTCAAAAATTTCCTTATTTTATAATCTACAGATTCCTCAGGCTAAGCAAAAAAAGTTTTTGTTCGCACCTCCCTAATATTTATTATTCTTAATAAAACTGAATTGCCGCTTGGAACTAAATATTTATTTATTATTATAATTTTTTTTCAATTCCTACCTTACCGACTCGTTGACTGAACTTTTGCAGATTCCAGTAGGCCTACCGAAATATATATCCACATCCCCCAACCTACATCCATTACTCATTTCTCCTCATTTAGATCAATGTAATGTCTTTGCAGCTCTCTCTAAACTCTAACTGAGATTTAAATCTCTGTAAACACTAATCACCCAACACTCACAAAAAGCATGTTTTCCAATTCAATTGAAACTCACTGTAGTTTTCGTGACATTATGTATTCATTATGCTACTTAAACAATAATTTACATTATTCACACTTTTAACGCTTACGTTACTCACACGAACGCCTTGCATTATCACACTTCGCTCTAACTGTATTTGATCCGATTTCTTGTTGCCTTTTGACAGCTTACGATCTCGCCACACAATGCGAGTCGCGGCGCGCCTCGTTACGCCGTCACACAATCGTCGGCTGCCAGAGCAACTTCGACGAGACGCATTCCATGCCGCCATCGAGGCCCGAATCGCGGCAGTCGGATGTGAGTTCTGTTGCTGCTCCAGGCGGCGGTACAGACGCAGTTGCAGGCACAACTAAACAGGTAAGCAACGTAAATATTTGAGTTTTCCACCAATTAACCGAACATCGGTTGTTCGCTACAGCTACACAACAATTACAATCAAAAGCAGCAACAACAACTAAAGCGCTCCCAAAGTCCTGCTACAGTAGGCAGCCACAGCACACGTGCCGGCGGCGAGAGCAGCGGTTGCAGCCGTTCGTCATCCTCGGTTGGCCCATGGAGCAAGTCCTTTCTAGATGAGAAAACTTGGACCGAACGCGGTGACGATCGTCTCTCATTGACGTTGGAGGAGATCGTACACATACGTTCGGTGATGACGAAGGCCGAGCTGGAAGGACTACCTGTGGGTGTGCGTGTCAAGGAGGATGTCGAAAAGCGCAAAGTCTGCTTCCTGTGCCTACGTACACGTTTCTCCATATTCGGACCTTGGGGCATACAATGCAAATTGTGCCAACGCACCGTCTGTTCCAAATGCTATACGAAGGTAAGGAAAGCACCGTCATCAACTTTTTTTATGAGACTTACTTGTGTGCATTACATTGTAATGTTTTAACTCAGATGCGAATACCAACGGAGCATTTCCGCAATGTGCCGCTTGTCTTGATTTCACCCTCACTGCTTGCCAGTCCGGCTGGCTCCAGCACGCCATCACCATCGCATCACGCTCACCATACACACTCGTCTTCGACAGGCAACATATTGGACGAGACGTTTCCAAAATCGTTAATTGAGCGTCTGTTACGTTCCGAGTCAGAGCGTAAGGTGAGCAACTGTCGTCTGAACAGCGCGTTAGATCGCTAACCCTTAGAACAAATTGCTTATGCATAATCCATTACAGACTCGCAACACGGTGGGTAGCGCTCCGTCATCGCCCAAACACCAAAGATCCAACACCAGTACACCTGGCATGAGCCACATCATGGCCACACGTTCGGGTATCTGTGTTACTGGACAAGCCATCGAGGCGGATGATGCTTCCGCAGTGACGTCTTCTTATAACAGTAATCTAGCAAATGGCTCTAACAGCAATATGTACGCCAATAACAACAAACACATCAACATAATGTCACGCAGCATGGAGGGACCGCGTAGTTTGCCTGCGAACAGTCCTGCGCGCGCGCATTCCAACAGCAGCACCTTGGACCGGAAGTGAGTAACAAGCACAATTAAATGCCACATTATATTGCAATAAGTATTTTTGTAGAACGAAATTTTCACAAGCCTTCACACTCTCCGCGTCGGGCACTCAACTCAGTCAGGAGCAGAAGGAGAATATGCGCGGTGAACTGGTCACCGTATGCAACGACTGCAAGGGTCTTGTCATGGAGATCACACGCTCATCCAAGCAGACGCGCTCCTCAGCGCGCAATCGTGCTCTGCAAAACCTCACGCTCGACCTCTCCCCGGTCTACAAGTGAAAAGGAGCTACCAGGCGCGGCAACGAGCCGGCCAGGCGAAACACGAATAGGCCGTGACGCCCGACAACAGCTGAAGTTGAAATAAACGCTGTTGTCGATACACACGCGGTTGCTGATAATTAGATTCTACTGCACTTCCAAACCACTCTTCCCTTGAAAGCGTATTTTTACATACACATACGAACACTTTTTGGACCGACGCCTACACACGCCGCGCCGGAAAGTGTGCAGCACTGTTTGTAAATAAACAACAACTAAGCAATTTATTGAAATGTTCGAATTAAGTTTTTAAACAACAATAACAAAAAGCGGAGGCAGCGCTCCGCGTTGAAATGGTTTTGGTGATTACAACCACGATTAATGAAATTTATTACCATATGTTCCAAGAATGCACCCCACCATTACATTGTAAAAAATAAGAAAATTATTGATATTCAAAAAATGTACATATGTATGTGTAGACGTACAGTTAGCGCGTTAATAAGTGATTATTTTGCTTTTGATTTAAATATTGCGCAAGCGTTCTTGTAGAAGTCGCTCTCGGAAATCGCTTAATGCTACGCAGAGTTCATAGCTGGGCAAGGCGCAGGACAAGGCAAGCGCTTTCGATCTTGTTTACCCTGCGTTTTAGTGGATGTCTTAGGGTATTAACTGTTTGGAACGAAAATTCAGCGTAAATTTGCTTTAAAGTTTGATACGAACAGCCAATTTACTTTTAGTTAGTTTTATTTATTTATTCAATTTTGTTTGTAAAGCTTTCTTTCTTGTTTTACTTCATGGAATTTAAGCGCGGCGCTGCTGGAGGTTTCCCTTCTGTTGCGGTCACACACCGACAACGTTTCTTTTTTATAAATATTTCATTTTGTGATACGGAGGAGTACTCCTTCCACCTTTCTAATTATTATATTATTTTTTACGCGCGATTTTCATTGCCCTCAAAACATGAAATATCATGAATATGGTTGTGTGAGAACTTGTACAAAAACAATTGATTATTATTCGGACTTTCTTTGTTTGTTTTTTTCCCCCCTTTTTTGTTTATGTTTTGTTTTTGCATTTTCAATCGTATTGAGAATTACATATATTTAACGCTAAGTTTATACTTTTTCCTTTTGTGTTTTTTTTTTTTTTTTGACATGACATCTGTTCTTCTAAGAAAACTAATGTTTGTATACATACACACGTGATAATGCTACGAACACTTACCAATAACTGTACTATTAAAATATTAACATTTAGTTTTAAACGTAACAAAAAGGTCAATGCATATTTACCGTTTTCACAATTAAGCAATTTAAACATAATTTGTACTATACAACTTACAATACTGATCGCATAATTTAATATGCTGCGTTTAGCACACACACACACACACATACATAATGATGATTGCAAATGGACAGACGTCCCTATTAATATTAATATAAACCATATTACCACTAACTTTAACATATTTATACATGTATACAAACGTACATACATGCGCTATAGTTTAGAAACCCACACACACACATACCCATAAATATATTTTGTCAAACTGCTTAATTTTAGTTAGTAATTTATACCTATGTAATTTATAATAATTATAGTTCATAGTGGTCTTAACTCTGTTTTCGATTGCATATACTTTTTGTTGTTTTGGAGCTCATTTTACGTTTTAAGTATCGATTTAATTTGGTTAACCACGCCACGACTTCAAAGATAAGATATTATTTGTAAAAATATTAGCAAAACACCAACTATATAAACTATATACATACAATAAAAGCTAATAAGCCACAAATGTACAAAGATAAATTACAAAAAAAAAAAAACAGTTGTATTGAAGATTTGCAGCAAACACAATCTGATCTTGTAGAGGATACAAAGCTCGTTGCGGAAATGTATGTGTAAAAACTTAAACATAGTTATTGCCTAAATTTAACACCTTTACGCTCGCTAAAACAATTTTCACTTATTTTTGCAATTTTTTCAACACATTTGTCTACCAATTTTACCAATCGCCGCGTGGTATCCGCAGCGAGATTTGTTGACTCTACATGCTCCCAATTCTAAAGCGAAAAGATTAAGCATTGTTGCCGCACTCCACTGCAAGTTTATCCAATGTTAAAGAAAAAGTAAATTATAAAAATATGTTCTGCTTTCAACAGCATTAATGCATGCATATGTACAGTTTATCGTTGTATACTTAATAGAACCCTTGTGTATTTGTAAACTGATGTGCTAAGATGCGCTGGGAAAGCAAACAAATATCCAGTGGAAATGCACTGTTGCTATTAATTCATTTATGTATTATTTAAACACATACATACGCGCAAGCAAGCGTCGAACACAAGCTAACATACATACATATGTGTGTATGTACAAGTATAAACATTATACAAACTAATTTTATAAAGTATCCCCAAGGATTAAGTGTTTACAAGAGCAGCAGCACCAAAATAAATTTAAACTAAAGAAATCAAAATAAAAGGATCAACAATTAAAACACAAATGGTTTTTGTTTCGTAGCTGGAGCTAAGATTACTGTTAAGGGTTTTTTGTTTTTGTTTTTGTGGCTACACCATACAAAATGAAATGCTAATTTATTTTTGTGAAACGTTTTGTTTTTATTAATATTGGCCAATTCGAGCCAGTCGTTAAATACATTAATATGTATTCAATTGTTATGCATATACTTTCATAAAAATATGCTATATACTATTTTTAATTATTGATGTATCTTTACATCTAAATCTATTTTCAAATAATTTCAGTTAACACTCTTAAAAAATATGCACCTACATTTACAATGCACAGTGTTAAAAAAAAAACAAAAACGAATTCCTATATTCGGATTCTTAAAGGTGGAAAACTTGAATGCTTCATGAATTTCGTACGTCTCATATACTCATATGACTTTACGTTACTTCTATTACCTTATCTTTACATATAATTATGCACATAAATATAACATTTACATGACCAATTTAGCCATTTGTTAAAAAAATTCTGCATTAATTCTTTTGCAAAAGTTTACTTAAGATCTCCTTTTCTTTTCGTCATTACGATGCTCGTGCCCGCCACGACGTTTGCGGTTGCCGTGACCGAATTTATTCTTGTTGTGATGGTTTCGTCGACTTTTCATTTGTTCAACAGCCTTAGCCAGATAAGTCTTCTCTTCTTCTTCTGAGAGTGTACGCAATACCAGCTCCAAGTCATCACTCAATTTTAGCTACAATTAGAGAGTTAAATTAGTTAAATAATTTTTTCTTCACATCACAAATCTACCTTATTTTCAGTTAATTTCTCGAGGAACTGAGATCCATTATTTTCTTCCGAAAAGCGGATATGACCTGTTTTGTCGCCTTTGCTATAATCAATATAAGAAATTTCCCAATTGCCTTCAGCCTTTTCTACAGCCTCACGCAATAATTCGCGGGTAACAACATCTGTACAATTTTCGAAGTACACAACAGTCCCTTTAGGCAGTTGTAACTTTTCTTCTTCTGCTTTGGCTTTGCCCTTCTTTGATTTAGACTTTGTCTCTTCTTTTTTATCTTCATAATACTTATCTTGCCATTTGCGTAAAAGTTCACGTTCCTGATAAAGCACCTGCAAATTAATATATAGATAATTATATTTTTCAATGAATGTTAGTGCTATATTTTGTTGGTTTACCTTATCCTTCTCGATGAACTCTTGCGCTTGCTCTTTCTTTGCAAATGTTACAAATACGCTGCCTTTGAATTTATATGTTTTGGTGGGTTTATCTAAGTATTTCCGCATGGTGATATGCAACACCTTTTCATAAGGTGCAAAGAAATCAATCAACTCCGACATGGTGGTTTCCAATGGAAAGCCTTTAGCATATGCAGTTCGTGTTTGTACTTCTTTACGTTGTTCCTCATTATGTTCTGGAATAGGACGTTCCGGATGACGTCGAAGCTTTTCCTTATCTTCACTAATTTCGAGTAAACCTTCATCAGACTTAATAAGGGAATCAATGATCACATTTGGATCGGTACTCAATGATGATAAACGTTTAAATGTTAATAAGACGGAAACAGGTACCCAGCCCTCTTCATCTTTGGAGATCTGCTCTAACAAGAATTTATCACGACGCAAGTTAGCATCACTGAAGTAATATTCCACTTGACGTATAATAGCACGCTCTTGTCTGGTCAGTTGCCCATCACCAGTCTTTTCATCTTCAGAACTGTCCTTCTTGGTTTCTTCCGCAACATCGCTTTTTTCCTCTGCGCTGTCTTCTTTGATTTTCTCTGCGGAATCTGTTTTGATTTCATCTGCAATAACTGTAGGCTTTTTGGTCGCTACTTCTTCGTCTTTTTCGGATGCACCATTTTTCACTTCTTCAACGGGAATATCAGCAACATCAGCCATTGTGTCTACCTAAAAAATTATCTTTTTGAATTAAATGTATATATTATGTATTCAAGAATTGACAAATTTACTCGAAGTATGTTAAAAACTTGGAGAAAACTTATTTAAACACGTGTGGACAAAAAACACGTTTCCAGACAAAACGCCGCTAAAAGAAATTATAATGAAATGACAACGAAATGACAGCCACATTTGCCAGTAGTGTTGACAGCTACGATTCACCCAGTATTGGCAAATGACGATTTGTAAAAATAATCGATTTATAATATAAAAGGGCGTATAATGTTATATATAATCTACATTCTCTGTTATTTCTAAGCATCAAATCTAATTTCAAATAAATTGTATAAAATCTGAATATCCTAAATCTTTTAATTTCTGCTAAAGTTTATTTTTAAAATCTGAATATGTTAAAAATTTTTATTTTCTGCTAAAATTTATTTGAAATAGGCTTGCTTTGTGCTCTACGTAAATAAATTTGCTTTGTACTCTGGCATCTCTCGCTGCGTATAAATAGTTGGCAATACATACATATGCTAATATGTCATTGACTATTTTGTAAACAAAAACACGCGGACATCGATTTTATATATCACAATATAATTCCTGTGTAAAAAATGGATAATCCGCAAAAATTCGTTTTACCTTCCCCGAATTTCCATAAAAAAATGGAATCTCCTTTAGCAGTGAAGCCTCACTTTCTTACTCCATCTGGAATGACCTTACATGCAAGACATCAGCCACCGCCAATGTATGGAAAACGGGGACCCACATATCCTTCAAAATACCTTCAAACGGCAAATAAAAATAAAGTGAGTTTAAAACTGTATTTAAGTGTTGAAAATTGTACAGCCTTCAATAGTTTATAAAAGTAGAGGCTGCGCAAACAGCAGCCGTTGAACCTGAATATTGCGAAGCTTGTGACATGGAGTTACAGTCCAATGATGATCTACGGCGACACAAATTGCAACATGAGAAATGTCCAGTAGATAATTGCAACTATCGAGGACATCCGTCAGTAATGGACAAACATGTCGGAACACTTCACAGTTCTGGTTTATTTGATAAATTCAAAAAACTTAGCTCGCCTGAGGAAATAGCTGCTTGGCGCGAAGAACGGAAAAGAAAGTGAGAATATTGTGTACCAAAATTAAAAGATAGTTTTTCGTAATATTTATTTTGTAGATATCCTACATTAGAAAATTCTTTAATGAGACAACGTGCCAAAGAGCAGCGTGAGAAACGTGGTGAACGTCTTGAGGCCCACAATAGTAGGTTTGGGAAGCAAGAGGATCGTAAACGGGCACAAAAAAACCATTGCTCTGAAACAAAGCAAAGAAATTACAACCAGCAACAAAACCAAAAGGTTCAGAATGCTAATGAAAAAAGAAAACGCAATAATAATAAACGCCGTAAAAAGGAAGAAATTCAAAAGATCGAGGAGAAGAAGCAAAATGATGTCATAGCAAAATTAAAGTCAGCAAAAAATGCACTTGAGGAAGAAAATATCGAAGAAAATGATATAAACTGCAATGGTATTTTGATGTTTAAAGGCACAAGTAAATTGGCCAATTATCATCACGTTAAGCCGAAGAAACCGAAAGAAACGAACGTATTGAGCAGCTTACTTGGAATGTATGGATCGGATGAAGATTCTGAGAATGACCACAGTAATAATGAAATGGATAATAATGACACAGATTATTTAAATGACGATAAATCAAATAATACAATTTGCACTGATACAAATACGAGTGATAAGGGCCTGTTATTAAATCCTATAGAAAATTCCTTGCATCTACACTCCGTTAGTTCGTTTAATGTTGAAAAAGTTGAAGATACAGAATCAGGACATTTCGCAGAGGCACAGAACAATAAGCCTTTGGAAAATACCGATATAGTGACTAATTCCGATAAAAGAGATCCGCACATCATCGTAACAGGAAAAATCGAAAATATTAGCGATAATTCGGTTGGTACTGCTCAAACTGAAAAGCCACAAAGCGCAGATTTAGTCTGTTCTGATGATGAGGCGCCGGAAGAAGCACCAATAGCACGCTCAACTGATCTGCCGATCCCTATCAAATCTCCACAACAAAACGTGCCAAGAAATGATGAAGCAAGTAATAATAATCGGCAACCCAATAATAGACTTCAAAAAGCGGACAGAGTGTATAAAATTAATAAGCAACAATCAGGGCTAGACTATCGAAAAGCACGTTTACGGAAACAAAATACATTGTTAGAAAAACTACTAGAGCCAGACATTAGGCACGAGCGAAATGTGTTATTACAGTGCGTGCGTTATGTTTGCGAAAATAATTTTTTCGGTATAGGCGAAAAAAAATAAACTGAGTTATTAGTAAACTTGTACAAAATCATACAAACCAAATTTTATTTTTAATAAATTCTTATAGTAGGTGCTTAACACAGAGTAATTTAATGATTTATAATTTGGCCTTAATTTGGAGCTTGTTGTCCCATTTGTGTTGCACCAGCATTAGACATTCCTGGATTAATAGAATTGTCGTGACTTTGTTGAAGCTGTTGCTGAGCCATTTGTTGCTGTTGCTGCGCTAACTGCTGTGCATGTTGCTGTTGCCGCTGTTGTTGTTGTTGTCGAGCAGCATGTGTATATTTCGCCTAAAAACATATACATATGTATATTTCGTAGAACTACATATTTGCACTTAAAAGACCTTACCTTAGACTCTTCTAGCTCACGCACTCTAGAGCGTGCATGTTGTATTCTATGCCAAGCCATTTGTAGAACTTTTGCAGAGGCATATCCTGAACCTTCATGCGGTTGTCCCGTAGAGACCTGTGTTAAATAATTTATCTGCTCGCTTAACTTTGATTCTACATTGGATAATGATCTGATAAATTGCTGCGTTTGGGTTTCTGCACTTTTTTGCGAAGATTTTTCCTTGCTAAGTTCCTGCAACGCCTGACCTGAGGAAACCGAAAAAGTATTGTTGAATGCATACTTACGTCTACAATTTGAATAAAAACCTGCACTTTGTAGACACATTATAATTTCTTGTTCTATTTCATCTAATGCGTGTATTTTGTCTAAAGGATTAGGTGCCATTTCTACTTTATTATTATTATTTATTCCAACGATTTAAAATTACTATTCTTTCGTATAGCGTCTCAACAAACTAACTGGATCAGCTGTTCAATTTGACATTTCTCTCCAAACTTGGCTGTGCTGTTTCTTGGTTATACGAGTTGGCCGCGATTAGGTGTGATAACAACAATACATTTAAATTTGATTTATTTATAATATGTAATACAATATTTTTACATCATGTAAGAATAAAATAGTAGATATAATATGTAATGTTTCTAAGTCGTTTAAAAGTGTTGTAATAATTTAGCAACATATGAACATAAATTTTAGTCTCCACTACAAAGTGTGTATCAGTACTGAAGCTGGCAACTCAGTTAGTCATTTTCGGCAGTCGAGTAATTTTCGAGCAGATTTCTTGGTGTGTCATTTTAATCGCTTTTTTCGCTTTTATACATTATAAAAATCCGAAAAACATGTTAATTATTTTATTAAAATTGTCGCGAAGAAGTGCAGATTGGTATACGGGCCGTTGTTAGTGTTTAAAGAGTATAAACATACAAAATAATACAGTCAGTTTTCCTCTGCTCAATAAATTTTTCTGTTGTTGCTTTCGTCGTCGACGTCGCTGCCTTCTATTCACTTCTTTTTCGAGCTAATGTCACTGCCGCTGTTGACTGCGCTGTCGCTGTCACCGATGTTATATTGAGAAAGAATAAACCTGTGAACATTGCTATTTTTAATAATTTGTTTTTAATAAATATAAAAAAACAACATATGGTACAAAGTTGCGATTAAAAAATTTACTGAAAAAATCGGTTACCTAATGTGATAGTTGGAATTACTTACAACTCATTAAATTTTCTTATTTAAACAATAAAAAAAATATCACTTCTTATTAGCTAATATTAAACGTCGGTGTTGTGGGTGCAATTATAAAATAGCTTTGTAGTAAGTTGGATAAAATCCGAGTAGTGGCAACAGTATAATTATATGGTAAGTATTTGTACCCACATACATATGATACTTTAATTTTGATATAATTAGTATGTAGGTAGATTGCGTACATGTACCGATGTAAATACATTTCGAAACTAGCCGTGAATGGTTTTGGGAACGCTGCTGGGAATTTCTTACTCTTATTAAATATTTATTGTTTGCTTTAATTTTAATAACAATATCGTATAGGTAATATACAAATTTAGATTTATTAAACTGTATTTTTTTAGTTTTATTTATTCAGATCGTGTAAGTTTATGTATTTAATATGTGCACAATTAACTGCATGGCTATGTTTCCTACCCTATGCGCATACACATATGTTTTATGCGTCATCTAAGCTGCTATTGTCTCGCAACCAAAGAGTAACCAACAGACAGAATTGAAAGCATTACAACGATGACAATAGCATAGTTGTAGCTATATGGTGCACTTTACTTCATGCAATTTTCCAGGTTTTTACTGTTTCTTCTATTTGCTTTTATTTGTTCTGCTGTTTTCACAAAAGAGCAGCGTACAAAAGAGGGCGACAAGTGGTCGCTTGTAGAAGTGCGCAACAACATCAACGGTATGTTCAAAGAAATGCAGTCTGAGTTGCAACAGAATAAAAGAGGAGAATTGAACAGTGTAGCAATTCACGAAACACTGCAGTAAAAATCACACGACGTACAAATATTATACATATGTACCATATAAATGTATTTAGTATACATATGTGCGTGTCGTTGGCAGGGTTGCGAATTTTAAAATTCAAAATTTTCAATTAAAAAATTAATTAAAAATTGGATTTTTATATTTTAATACTGATGTTAATACTGATGATAAAATTTTAATTTTTTTAAACCCGTTTATAGTTTTAAGAGTTAAGTTTTCATTTTGATGATTTTCATAATGTTTGGTATTAAAAATTAAAAATATAATTTTTTGATTTCAATAAACGCAAAAAAATGTTAATTTTAAAACAAGTTATTTTTTAAATTCTTAATTCTAAGCTTAAAATTAAAATTTTTCTTTGTTATTGTTCAATACGGTAGTTGGGGCTAAAAATTAAAAATAAATTGATAATTAAAAAAATTTTTTAAAAGGTTTTTGGTTTTAATTTTATTTTTAAATCAAGTATGTAAGGTCAAAATTTGTGTTTCTTTTTGTTTTTTCTTATCCCAGTATGTAGTATTACAAATCAAAGGTTTCAATTATTTTTTTAATGCAATATTTGCAACCCTGGTCGTAGGTGATGTAGAAGGAGAGCAAGTAATCTTGAATCAGATAAAGTAACCTCAAGCTAAATATACATATACAATATTCGCCATAAATAAGAGTTTTCTCCATACTACAGCAGACACTTGAAGACAACATAATTCTTGTTTATCCTTTTGACTTCTCTATCTGCAACAATTCTGATGTGCTTTAAATATTTTGTTCCGAGTATTGTTTGATTACTGCACACCGTGTTCTAATCTATGGCTACATGTGTGCCACAATGACTCTTGCGGTTTATAGATGTGCCTTTGGCTGCGCTAAGATTACCTACAATGTTATTCCGATGATGGCGCCAATTTTCACAGGGAGCTAGACAGTCGAGTTGAGTCACAATGCGTTACATATTAATACATACATATGTAAGTGCATACCCTCGTAAGTTGCCAATGGCTCTCACCACAAACTGTTGCTCCTCAGACGATTCAACTCTGTACAACACGTACCATACTGGATGCTTATGTGATTTTTTCGGTCGTTGATGTGACAAATGTGGATATTCATTCATTCATGCATTGAAAGGCTTTATAATTTATATGCTTTTTTGTCGCTCCCTATTTGCTTTGACAAATTTTATTCTATTTTCACTTTAAACCATTAAAATGTTTTGAAGTTGTTTTAAATAGAATTCAACTCAACAAAATCCCGCCAACAGTCCATAATTTGTGCATGCACTACCTGCTTCAATGAATGTCTGCCACATTTTAAATCCCATAAGCTTGAGCAGCAGCGCTGATCTTCACACTTCGGTTGCACACGCTCTAGAGGGCACACTAAATTTAGGTTGCACAAACAAATGTTTTTGTGTGTCTGTATGCTGCATTGCGCCACCCTTGATTGAAATCGATAAGTTGGGACATTGTATGCTGTTAAACTTCAAGACCCCAACACGGAAACATAAATTTTCTGCTGCCACAAGTGTGAGGAACGCAAGTTTTTTTTTTTTTACCTTTTATATTCATGCTTTTAATTTATGTCTGATTCAAAATGTTTTCAATTATTACAAGCAATTTAACTTTGGAAAATTTAGTTTATGTTTTATTTCAATTTCAATTGGTTACACTTTTGAACCGCGATAAATTATTAAAATTTCTATTTTTGTACTAATTATAATTAATTTGTGAGCTTATTCATTGCCAAAACTTGTTTTACGAGCAAATTTCGAAATGCAACAAGATTTTCGAAAATCCATGCATGCCAATTTGCTGATAATGGGTATTATCTGGTAAATTCCTGAAAACAATTCTGTTATATTTTATGACCGACTTGTTTCCCTATATTTTTTGCTTCTCTCCACCACTTGGTTATGAATCCTCCATACTGTCAAAACCCTTGAATAGTCATTTATTCATTACTCGATAGTTGTTGTACCTTAAAATGCCGTTATTGTTAATAATAATTTTGCTCAAAAGGGTCACAACTTCTTTGAATTGAATTAAAAGCAGGCGAAGTGACAATACGACCCCAGGTATCGTTCGAGTATGCTCCAATATATGCAAATTTCTTAAACCCCACTTTCCCCTTGTAACCCCTCGCATTGACATTAGCTTAGCTGGCTTGACAATGCGGTCCGTCCGTGTCCTATACATATGTATGTATATAAATAAGTTTGTCTGGCTTTTATTTTGCTGCTGCACGCGTCATCTAAACTTTGTGTTGCCCAAAAAAGGCATATTATTGCTTATCTAAGTGCCTTTAATTACTGCTGCATATTTGTGCAAGTCCGTATGCACTTATTATGCACGATACTTGATCGTTTCATATTTGTTGGCTAATGTACTCAAATAGAATTGTGTTTATTTTCCTAAATGTTGTTTATTATTTTTGTTTCCACACGATGATCTGCAATGCTTTGCATGCAACAGCTTTGATTACGCACTATTTGTAAATATTTTCCAAATACTTTGATTCCAATTCGAATTCATCATCAAATCACCACTTGGCTTAGTAAGCAACCTTCATAAGAAGTCAAAGTGAATTTTAGCGAAATTTAAACAATTGCGGGGCAAGTGTCGCATTGTTTATGCAAATGTTGTGTTTTGCGCGTGCAGCAAATACTCATAAACAAAATATTCATGCAAGCGTACGAAGTGGCGACCATAAATTGTAAGAAAGTTAAACGGCAAATTATTGAAAATTCCTCATTTCGCAATATTTTTAACGATCGATTCCAAATATTTTTGCTCTCATTTATTCCCGCTTAAATAAAATATAATAATTTTTTCCACATCTATAAAATATCGCGCCCAAAATGATGTCAAATAAAGACTGGTATTTTGCAATTTTTCTTTTTTCTCCCTTCCACGGCCAGAATACCCCTTAGTCTTAGTTGAGGAAAATTTGATTTTGACGTCTGCGTCTGGGCGTTTGGCATCATGCCAAACGAATGTCGTCGCCTGGTGCTCTTCATCTCTGCTGTGCTTTTAGTGCGACATATTCGATTTTTAAGTTGAGTACTTTTTGCATTAATTGTGCATTATCCTCTACAATAAAGTAAACTGTAATTTGGAGCTACTATTTTCGTACGCATTGCCGAAAAGCGCAAAAATAAAGTATTTAAAAATAGTGGAGTATGTAAATATTAGAATCAGTTACACGTGCCATGAAGATTTGCTATGTTTCGAGATGTGATATAATCGTACCGTACAGTTGAAGTGTCTACGAAGCCTCACTTATAAAAAATAATTCGTAATATTGGAGTTTAACCGATCGAATATTGGGTTTCAACCCAAGTACCAATAACATTGTAGTTACGAATATTTTCTACACCTCTACAGCTTGGTTTCATTTATTCTCAGTTGCAAATATTTATATACCCTCACCTATTTATTCACGATTTTCATTAAAGTCATATACATACATATAATGTATATATAATCGAAAATGTCAAAAAATATTAAATTCAGGCATATGAAAAATGTCTGCATATGCATTTATCCTCCTTATTTCCGAGAAAGCGTAAAAATATAATAATTAAAAATAATTGTGAGGTTTTCTGAAAAATGCGAAAATTGTGCTTGCACCGTTCTCTTGCCACTGCTCGTAGTATTATTCATATTCGTTGTCATGCTCTTTACATGACAACTATTTACGTGCGATTGCCAGCTACATGTGCAGTGTGTGTATATATATATGTATGTATGTCAGCTTGCTTCCGGAAGCGCATGCAAAGCCAGAGTGAAAAAAAAACTGAAGGATATGTGCCACTGGCGCTATATTAAAAATTAAATGAGAGACGGGTGAGGACAATTACCGCTTTTGGAGGTTAGCGAATTTCTATGCAACGGGATTATAATTATGCACAGCTAATCTAATTACCGTTAAAGACGCGCATAGCTTATGTTGATCCTCATTGGGTGTATTTGCCGGTCTTACAAGCGCACTCCATTTGGTTGAGCTCAGGAAGCTGTTTTACATTTAAGCGGAGGTAATGCTGCCCACGGAATCATTACGAATGCATTACTTAACCCAACCAATTCATGTACGCATGCACATATCTACATACAACAACATGCAAACATCATTTATGCAACATACCTACATATTTACATATTGAGCTATGCAGCCATGCAAGAGCATTTGTACATATGTATGTATGTATGTATGTATGTAAATCGAAGCTTATGATTGCTGCAACCATTCAAGCGAGTGTTGTTCGTCTACAAATTTACAAAATGTAATTAAGTTTATGAATTTCGGCTGTTTTCTGCGAGGGTGGCGCAACGCTTTTGAAACGCTACTGAAATATTTTATTCTTTTAGAATCAGTGAGCTCGAATGTATCTCGTTGCGGCTCTTGATTGTGCGCTGGAATGCAGTGTGTTGTTGTACAACAACATGTGTTGTTATAATTCCATGTAATTCTCCGGCAATGGTAATCTGATGTAATCGCATGCAATTAATTTAGCGTGAAGGACAAGCAGTCAATGCTATTTCCATTGCGCTAATTAGTGTTCAGTGCAAATTATGCATAAATGCTATTGCATACTATAATACAAATGCGAACATACTTTAAAGTTGTTTGGAGTTTCAATAAATAGGCAACCATTTTTGGTGAAGCTTGGCGTTAATCTACAGTTAGAAGAACCTGGAAGCTTCAAACTGACTGCTAACGGTTTGTTGGTCTACACAAAAACCTTTCGATGCCAGAATTGTCTGCGTTCGGATTGCCACCGATGGGGAACAAGTGGGTACCCAATGCGCTATTTATCTGTTTATCAAATATTTACAATTTTAATGAAAAGGTGAGGGCCGCGTATGCAATTAAACTATATGGAACCACATTAAATTCCGCTAAATAAAAAGTGTTCTGGTCGCTAATGGAATAAATAAGAACAGAGGCCGCTTTTGCTCAAATATTCAACGTAGATATGTATTATATATATTGTATGTTGCAGCGGCCATTCTAAGCATTCTTCATATATACATACATATACAATAAGAGCATGACCTGAAATAAAAAAATCTTATCTATGATTTCCCTCATTGATGTCAACAAGATTTTTAGCTTCAAATCAAATATAAATGTGGCCCAGAAAATGAATTTAAGGGGTTACATCCACTTGCAAGACCGAAAAAATGCGTATTTTTGTGAATTTTTTTTAAGCGGCATTTTATTTTACGACTTTAAAAAAAATTAACATAAAAAGAATTTAATGTAATTTTTGAATCAGCGATTAATTTTAAAAATATTGGTTTCCCTTGTTCCTATAGTCGATCTCCAGAAGGACCTCCGGAAGTAGGTGTCACGCTGTGAGGAAAATATTTCGGCGTCGTATTATCTAAAATCAAAAACCAATGTATTAGTATTATGATAGCTGAGTACAGTTAATGATCGAAGGAATTGTAAAAATTTTGATTTTTGAGAAAATGGCGGCTTCCGAACCAAAACAAAATTAATTTTTTGTGCGAAAATTTACATCTCAAAGTGGCTTAAAAACTTTAATTATTAAAATTAAAATAAATAAAAATTATTGTCAAAACTTGTATTCCTTCGATCATTACCTGAAAAGTATATTTAAAAAATTTGCCTCACCGACTCTGAAAACAGCGTTTCGAGAAAAACGCGTTTAAAGTTTTGGCAGCCGAATACATCAACATGAAATTTTCGAAGAATATACTCAAATACATGTACATACGAAAAATTCAAAAACAAAAAATCAATTTTTTTTTATTACAAATGAATATAACCCCTTAAGCGATGCAAACTTCAACCTTGTAAAACGAATGGCACACCAGCAATTCCAGGAAAGTGAGGTTTGATCTAGCAGAATCAAAGTGAGTTAAGCCCAGTCCTCCTTTGCACTTCACTTGAGCGCTTATATGGAACGCCAAAAGTCAAAAATTATAACCTCTGCACACTTTTTGATTTACCTCTTCATTTGCGACAGAAGTACACACAGCCATCGATAAAAATAAATAATAATAAAAGAACGAAAGCTTTATATTTATATGAATGTATATGGTACAAGCATATAAATGCTCGGTCGCCTTAGCAAAATTATTTTTATGAGGACATAAATTTGTTGAAATGCTTTTTAAAAACAATTTTTAATAATTTCGATGAGAAAACGACGCACACTAACATATGGTATAATACATGCATACACACACACACACAATTGAGTAGCTAACTGAAAGAGTAGGCGAAAAGCTGAAAAATAAACACTTAGCCACAGCAACAACGCGACTGTGTAGAAAAAAAAAACATATGTATTTATGTATGCATACACACCTGCGTGCGTTTGTTTGTCTAATCGAAGCAATAACGAAAATCTGCAAATACCGCAAAGCAACCGGGTAATCGCAAGCGATTTCTTTAAATTGCGAAAAAAGTTGCTTTGGAAGAAAATTCTCAATGAATGGCCATCTTTTTCAAGAGGGGTGTGTGCAAAGCGCTTGAAACGGTTGCCCAGTCTGCGCTGGGGGTTGCGATGAGGCTGCGTGAGAGCATTGCTCCTCGGCTGCTGTTGGCGCTTCTGCTGTGTGCGTGCGTCGCATGGTTGTCGACCAGCCGCTTTGGCGTTGACAAACACGCTCGCTGTGGCAGCCACCTCAGTCTCCAAATAATCGTGAACGCGCGAGCATCAGACCGTATATATAGCAGTAATTTTAATTCGCTATAGCAAAAACTAACGAACTCACATTTCAGTGTCAATACATTTGCTTATAGAGCTTATTTAGCCATCTATATTATTAAAAACAAAGTGACAAGTTACCGTTAATCTTGAAAACATATATCGTTTATATTACTTCGGCCTGAGTGTGCGGTGCGCATACTTCAGCGAATGATAAATCGCGCTAAGTGGCTGTCAACACGCTCCAAGAAAGCCCGCTGGCAATGTAAAAATCGACGAACTCCACGCGGAGTGGAAAAATTTGATCTGTGCGAAGAATCGTATGTGTTTTTGCGGCTCTGGTGACCTTGTAACCATTTTTAATTTCTCTTGCAGTTTGTAAAATTAAAAATTCCTTAAGTACAAGTGTAAATATGTATGTACGCGTGTCAAGAGTGGTGCGCGAGCGTTCTATGCATATATAAACAAATGCATATCTATATAGATATACTTGAATACATATAAATATGTACTATATATATTACATAGAGTTTTATTTTTATAAACCGGAAATGCTTTGTAATTTTTGTCAACACCGCCATATGCCGCTCTCGCTTTTGTCTCACTTCAGCTCTTTGGGTCGTTCTCTTCTTTTTGGCCTCTGCTACTTCGTTTATAGCGATTTTTAATTATTTTTTAAGACAAGATCTTTAAGCAATTAATTAGGCTGCTGCCATATGTTGTTGGTCGAGATTGTTTATTTTTGATGCCCATGGCAATTTTGAATTCAAGCAAATTTTTGTTTTTATTTCGAAATGCCACGAACATTTACTCAAACTTTAGTTGTTAGCGTTTTCAGCACTGCGATTTTAATTGGAAATGGCATCTACATATACATACATATGTAGTGAATACAGTTATTCACTTATTATCTTAGAGAAAGACTTCAGCGTTACGTATACGCCCTCGATGCCGAATTATTTTTAAGTAAGCTCATCTTCTTACTTGTCAATTAGTACAAACACCGTTATTCTTCCACAACAATAAAACAGTTTCGTGTGGCCCCAACAAGTTTCGAAAACAATTTAGATATAAATATTAGTATATAAGGTACCAGAAATTGCTATTATGACATATTAATTGTCCCACTGCTCCTTCTGAGTAGCCAAAACACCCACTGATCATCAGATGCTTGCACGGCTCCTAAAGTTGAAGTATTTTATTACAATCTCTACTGAATACATTTGCTTTACACGCTTTTTCACACAACTGTCCATGTAAACATTTCATTGTACCAAAAATAAAAGGCCAAGCAATCAGCTGGTCCGTAGGTACTGAGCTTACAATAACTGCATTTCGATACTCAACACAATGGCAGCGCTGTTGCCGATATGTCTTTGGGCATCAGCCAGTCAATCAAAATCAATTAGTCAAACGTCAAATAGTTTGGACAAAGTACGTGTAGGATTTGCGCAATAAACGCTCAGCGAAGTCAAGCCGAGTATTGACTACCCAGCAGTAAAAAAGATGAAGGGGTTACATGGGTTTCGTCGAGCGAAAAACGCTCTATTTGCAATAATTCTTTTTGTCATATAAAAATGAAATATTTTAGTCAAACTTTTTATTATTCTAAACATACATATTTTACAAAGATTTAATAAAATTTTCGAACTAAAATATTCAAAACTCGGTCATTACGACGTAATTTCCGACAGTCCCTCGGAAAAAAGGTGCTTTCGCGTTGACAGAAGAACTTCTGACAGCGTCATCAAACAGCAAAAAATACGTGTTTGAATTAAGACAATAAACTAGATATTAGACGAAGGAAAAACAAAAAAAGTGAAAACTGTATTTTTGCTAGAGAATTTTACAAAAACATTCAAATTTTGAAGAAAATTTCTCGACTTTTTTAAATAGTTATAAATGAACAAAAAAAAATCTTTCGCGGCAACAACTTGTAAATTATATTACAAAGACCTGTGTAAAATTTCATTAAGATCGGTTGAGTAGTTCGTGAGTTTTAGAACCGACTTTGAAAACACAGTTTGGAGAAATCGCGTTTAAAGTTTTAAGTGATTATATAGCTGACCTCGAGCAACTTTTCAAAGCTGCACCTTCAAAACTATTACTGGGAGAATTTAATACAATATTCTAAAGATGTTATAGAGTTAAATAAGACAGTAAAAATTTTTTTTTGAAGCCGTTATATCCATATAATCCTTAAGTCGTGACTCATTCCGTTAGAGGCTTCGGCCAAGTATTAAGAATATATATATGAATAAGCTCATACTGAGCATATATTGTAATATTCGCTTACTACGTGAGAGAGTGTCAAAAGCGAACAATTTCAAATGGATGTGAAATCCGACCTTGTTCGGGTTGCTAAAAATGGAGTAGTTACAGTTCCGACTAGCGCAGACCATTGCAATTGACTACTGTGTAATGAACATTTGTGAATAGCATTTCCCGGTTTTGTTGATCATTGTTTGTTTGTCTCGCTGTCATCCCGGTGCAAACTGTTTGGTTCTCTTCCCGCTGCTGACGTTGATTTATATTTTTAGTGCCAAAATCAACAACAAATGAAGAGTGTGTGTGATGTTTTATCTTTGCTAGAACTGTCGCGGCTCGACTGCGCTTCTTGCGCGAAAAGAAAACAACAAAGCAAACATGCCTGTTTGTAAAGTTGTCGATTGGCTATTTTTATTCGCAGCATATGATGGCAAAGAGCATGAAGGAAATAAATAACGCGATATTACTATACTACTCCTTTGTTTTTTAATTATGAGGAAATTTTCAAGTGTAAACAAATTTCAGAAAGCGTATTAAAACACTAAAAAAGTCATAAATAAAATAGAAATCAAAAAAGAATAAATCCCCGAAAGTTGGAGGAGAAAATCATTGTTTTTCAATTTAATTATGAGTGTTTTCATAAGGGCGACATAATTTCAAAACAGCGAACTTGTAAACAAGAACAAATTAAAAACAAAAAGAAATGACAATCATTCTGCAATTTGCGTCACAACGGTACATTTTCGTCCAATGACTAAATGACTAAAAGAAGCGGAAATAAACAGGAGACAATTTAAGTGAATGGACGGAGCAGCGTTTCCTTTGGAGGAAATCGTTTGCATCCGCAGCCAACTGAATGCGAGCATTGTGCATGTGCATAGTAGCGGACGTTTTGGGCGTGTGTGTGTGTCATTTGTGTGCGCGAGAGTGCAACATCACCAACAGCAAACATTGAAACTAATTATGTGGAACGCGTGAGCGGCGGAAAACGTGTTTTGTTTGTGAATGCATTCCATGCATACATACATACATACATACATACATACATATGTGTATATATTTTTGATTATTTAAAGTGTTTAGTGTGATTTATGACAATGGCTTTGTGCCAGATATGAAAACGTCTTCAATATACTCCGTGTCCATCATGAATCCAATTGGCACTAGGGAATAACGGAATTACCGAAGGCAAACAAACACATTTAATTATATGCATACAAGTATATTGCAAGATATCCGTGTGCGTGTAGGGGAAATTTGTGTCTAATATTAACACTTGACTGATAATGAATGTGGCGGTGACATGTCGTCGTCTCGGCGAGCTGTGGTGTTGTCAGTGAACCAGTGGTGGCTGTTGTCGCGTTCGAAAGCATTATGGTGTCATTTATCGGTTCATAAAGCAAAACATTACAGTTGTGTAAAGAACATAATAATATATTTTTTTATATCAAAGACGTATATCCTTTCAAAGCGAAAATCTGTGACTAATATGTAGAATATTCAATAGGTCGCTCAAATGTGCCTATGATTACATTTTCCTTTGCCTAAATATTAATGTACATATATTTTTCTGCATAAATGAAATAGTAATTTTAAAGAAAACAAAATATTTTTTACTCAAAATTGGGTTTTAAATAAGAAAAGATAACTGCATGCTATTCATTGTGTAAAAATCGAGATAATTTAGTTTTTGCATTGTCCTTTCCAGCTAGCAATAATGCCCAGTTTAAAAAGCGCTGAAATATAATTTTTTTTCCAAATAATTATAAAAAAGAAACGCAAACACAATTTTGTGATCGACTGTTCTTCTATTTGTTTCTAAGCAAATTTTATTTCCCATACAGCCATTGAGCACCCAGTGACAAACTGCCTTGGAATTCTCACAATTTTCATTTTAGCGTGTGTCTTTTAAAATGATCTCAAAAAATATTTGCGCAAAACAAATGGATAAAAATTTAATCGCTTTTTTGTGTTGAATTTACATCTTCAAACAAACATACTCGCATTTGCAAATGTATGTACATACATAAGAATATAAATAGCTGGGGTGAAAAGCTGAAAAAATACATTTCTTCTCAAATATTCAATAACGAGAGAGTTAGCGTTTAATGCAAACAATCTATTAGAATTTAGAGAAATCACCAATAAATAAATTTGGAATTCCACTCGAATCATTTGGAATTAATCCTTAATTAACGGCACTTTAATGCTTTCAACAAGTTGATCGTGCTTTTTTCGAGGTGCGAGAAAACTAAGTTTGGCACGGTCGCAACATTAGTGCAGGGCCAGAATGGCGATTACCCGACGCGTCGACCTTGGCAACCTTGGAAGTTTTTCTTCTCCAATGTGATGTGACACACTGAATAAAATATGCAGAATATATAATATAATATATGTATGTATACGAGTATATATGTGTATTCAAAGAGTGAGGGGAGAATTGTGAGAGAAAAAATATAATATTTTTATATTTGTCAATGAAAATATACATAACGCTCTGGGTAAATGAATTCTTCAAAATTAAAATAAGGATTTTTCATATATTTTTATTTTGCTAACGGGATAAATGTCTATAAAATATTTCGAATTTTCGAAATTGCCCGTTTTAGTATATGTTTCATGACATCTTCTTCTTTGCAGTTCTAATTACTCGACAAGTATAAAGTCGAGCAACTACGCTGACACGATTCAATTGACCCGAAAGCCAAGTGGTGTGTTTCAACTCAACACAAGCGTTGTATTTCACGTCGAACTGGCTGTAACAGCATTTTGGAAAGCTTTTGCAACAGAAAGGCCAGCAAAATGTCGCAGCCACTCATCGTCCAAGCGGAGTACTCCTTTAAGGGCGGCAATAATGACGAATTGTGCTTTAAAAAAGGCGACCTCATCACAGTCACTCAGCGCGAGGAGGGCGGCTGGTGGGAGGGCACACTCAACGATAAGACTGGCTGGTTTCCCAGCAACTATGTTAACGAATACAAGGCACCATTGCCGCTCACAGAAACGATACGACCACCAGAGGAGATACAGGAGTACCGTTCGGTTGTGCTAAAAGATCTGCTCGACTCTGAACGGGCACATGTTGCCGAGGTGCAAGGTCTCCTCGAGAATTTTCTCGAACCACTACAGCAGGCGCAAATGTAAGAAAGCGCAAAACCGGAACCAAAATTAAATAATTCATTTATTTCTACTTTTACAGCCTCACCGCGGATGAATACGCCCAGTTGATGTGTAATTTCGTAGAAGTCGTTAAAACACACGAAGAACTACTCAAACAGATGGAAGAGTGCAATGATCGGGTTGGTAAATTATTTCTAACAAAGGCACCTCACATGAAACTGGTGCATCAAGCCTACTGTGCCGCCCACCCGAAGGCCATTGTCATACTCGATAAGCACAAGTGAGTAGAGCATCTTAAAGACCAATTTTTCAATAACATTAAATTCGGCTACGCAGAGATAACTTGGAGAAGTATATGGAGCGACAAGGAGCTGCTTCGCCTGGTCTGTTGGTTTTAACAACGGGTCTCTCGAAACCTTTCCGCCGGCTAGATAAATATTCTGCCATGCTTCAAGAACTCGAGCGACATATGGAGAGCAGTCATCCAGATCGAGGTGACACACAACGAAGTGTTGCTGTATACAAAGATATTGCGGTAAAGTAACTCTCGAAGCAGCGCAGCTATTTTAAATTGAGATTTAATATGCTTTATCATTAAAAGGCGGCATGTTCTGCTACGAGGCGACAGAAGGAACTCGAGCTACAGGTGTTAACCGGGCCAGTACGCGGTTGGCAGGGACAAGAGCTTAGCACTTTAGGTACAAAAAGGATATAAAACATTTTTCCTTTACGGAAATTCCTTACTCAACTTTTCTTCTTAACAAACTTAGGTGACATAATACACATGGGCAGCGTTGCTGTCGGGCCGGATCACAGAGACCGGTACTTTGTGCTTTTCCCACAAACCTTGCTGATACTCAGTGTTAGTCAAAGGATGAGTGCCTTTATTTATGAGGTAGCTTTTAAAATATATTCACGTGCGATTCTTCGCTCAGCATGATTTTTATTTATTTTAAAGGGGAAACTGCCTCTAACGGGTATCATTGTGAACCGTCTCGAAGATAGTGACACTGTGAAGAATGCCTTTGAAATTAATGGACCCTTAATTGAGCGTATCGTTGCTGTGTGCCAAGGTCCCAACGAGGCGAATAGATGGGTTGAGCTCTTAACTTCTGCAAATCCAACTATGCCAATTGGAATCAAACGGCAGCTAAGCAATCTTAGCAATAAATCGATGAGCGGCGGTAGTAGTGGGCATGCACCGCAACCTCCACCACATGTAAGTTTTCTGATAAGCCTTTTAAATATGAAATCAACGTTACCTCAAACTCGCTGCAATATAGCCTCCCTCCACAAAATTTATCATTGGTATAAGGTCTAAAGTTAAAAGTAATAAAAATTCTTTTCACAAAGAAAATTGTAGATTAAAAACGATTTAAAAAAAAATTGAGTTTGAGGTAATTTATTTAATAATAGAATTTTCTTGAAGTTTTTAATTTTACTTTTTACTTAACTTTTTGTATTGAAAAATTATTCGACGATTTTACAAATTCTTAAACATAAACTTTAAATAAAAATAACAAAAATTTCAATTGAAACTCAAAATTAACAACAATACGTAAAATCCAATAAAAACGCACGTAATCAACTGAACCACGTCGCAGAACCCTCATATTTTAGATGCGCGCGGTTATAGTACACGTTTCTCGCTCTGCGCGTACTACGCTGCTCCTCCATGCAAACCATATCGCATAACATTGCCTCCGAGTAACTACCCGCCCACCGCACCTTATGCTAACCTAAGTGCACATTTTGCCAAACTAGTAAAGACCGGCCGACTCAAAAGTACTTTAGTAAAAATGTTGCTCTACCCGCAAGCGCGACAAAGTATCGATTTGAAAGGTATACCCCTGCGTAGAAAACGTGCCCTCAAGTCTTCGGTAAAAATGTATAAGTCAAATCAACATGATATAGACTATTCCAACTCATCTGAACGTTCAGAATTGGAGCGGCAGGATGCCTTCGAATTGCCTACTGACTCCGAAAGTGACGAAGACGAAGATTATGAGAAATATAGCGACCGCGATTCCAGTCCCCTTGAATACGTAAAATTCCACGCTAATCAGCGGCATTCAATTGACGAGGCGGCATCCGCTAACAGCGTAGAGCTTACAAGGCGAAAAGAGCGACATTGTTCATCTATAAATCTAATAAAATTAGATACAGATAGCACGGAAGATAGCGGCCAGTGCTCTGTTGGACCGGTTGCTCTGCAAAAAGAATCTTTGATCATCGGTTCAAAGGCAATGCAAGCGCTGGTACGCAAATCCACCGATAGTATTATCATCCATACAACAACAGCGCATCTGGATTTGTGTTCCAGCGGCGGCATCACCAAGTGTGTGGAGGAGCTTCCTGAAGATACCGCAAGTCTTCAGCAAAGCTTGCATCACCAAGCGTCCCAAACCTCGCATGGCTCCTCTGTGTTTTGTGAGCGATTTGGGGGTGCATACGTGGCATGTGAGAATCTAGCAAAAATGTCAGATGAAACTAAAATAAAGCTCGTCGCTCCAGTTTGCGATTCACCGCCAGAGCGGCATAGTATGCCGAGCTTATTTGTTGGCAATCGCTTCAACCGCAGCTCGAATACTGCCGTCTATGTGCCAACTTGGCAAGATCGTAAGGAGGCACACAATTTGAGTGTAGATGCACTGAAACACCAGAGTTTAGAGAGCGACAATGCCAGATCAGACTATGATTATGGTGACAACGATGATGATGATGATGATGATGATGACGACGGTGATGAGGACGATGTTACTCATTCCAGTACGTTAGACTTGCCGGCAGAGTGCTTAACGGCCCCAGACAAGATGCAGGCGGAGTTGTTGTACAATTTTGATGAGAGCTGCTTGGGAAGACAAACGTTCGTAAAAACTGTGATGATTCATAATAATCTGTTGAAGGCTCTCATAGCTGTAAAGGCAGTGCGAAAATCAATTCGGCGCTATATTTTAGGGGGGCGATACTTGTAAACGCCTGAATTTAGGCCAATTTTTGGAGGCTTATTTGAAATAGAAAAAATAAATGGATGATAATGAAACTCAGCATGTTTATTAATTATATATTAAAATATGAAAATCCGATTAAAAAAAATTTTTTTTTTTCAAAATGGCCGCCGTGGCAATCGATCTCTTGAGGCTCTCGCATCAATAGGCGGGATTTTGAGCTTCAGTTTCAGCTATCTGCAATGTTAATAAAAAAACCAAAAAAATAAAAAAAATAAAAAACTGGCACGCCTCAGACAAAAAAGTCAAAATTTTGACCTTTTTTTCTACATTTTTTGGTTTTTATTTTTATTTTTATTTTACATGTATCGCTCCCCTTAAGAAACACGTTCACATTTCTTTTTAAACCAACGAAATTATTAAAGTAAAAACATAGTTGGCTGAAACACTTATGAGAGTCTTCATTGGTACAAGAGGGCTTGGTTTGATCAATCTTTATGCTTAAGGGAGTTCGTGTATGCATAACTTGATATGTAAATAAACATAAAATATTTATATGTATAACTATGACATCTAAAGTATGCTTCTACGTCTCCCATGAGCATATTCAAGCATAGTGCTCACATACCACTTTCATCTGTATACATATAGCATGGCAGAGGATTTCGACGACATCATATCGCCACCTTCGATGTTCAAGCCACAATTTCTTTTCAATCAAAGTGCTCAGAAAATTCAAGAGCGGGATGGAGCGGTGGCAAAAAAGCATCAACCCGACCACGACGAAATAAACGTTGCTGCTTTACACAGTAGCCAGTCCACCACTGAATTGTACATTGAGCCCCAACGTGCTAGTGGCGGTTCCGGCAGCAGTAAAGCAAAACGTCCTGGTTCAATTAGGCGTTGTATAAGTTATCAGTATGTTCAAATGTCCAATGCACATAACGACCACACTCCAGCAACACACTCGTCGAAGATCGCCAGTGAAAGCAGTGGTTCATCTAATGGAAATTCAAGTAATAATAATAATCACTTAGATCGCAACATTCCCATCGAACGCACGCACCGCCATCAGCAGCAATTACGTAAAGAGAATAACCAGTCTTCGAGCTCTAAATGCAAATGTTGTGAGAGTTCGCAGTGTCCAAGTCCACGCTCCAGCGACTCTGGCATGGCTGGTAGTTGCACTATCACTTCACCCGATCCACCTCATGGAAATTATTATGCTGGCGAAGATTTACCCACATTAGCAACAACCAATTCCGATTCTAACGATATTTCTGATCTCACGCGATTCGATGTGTGTGGCATGTTTCGTGCGAAATTCCTCACACCTGAAGCTACCCAAGATCTCATAGATAATACTGACAGCATAGAGTCGTTCCACCATATACAACAACATAATGCCGCTACATCAAACAACGCGACGATCAAAGCTGCTCCCATCTCAACTCTAACAACCGCTGAGTTGCAAATATCCGCCAGCAGTACAACCATTGATTCTGTGGCCAGCAGTTCAAGTCACCAAATGATGACGAATATTCAAGGAAATATGCAATTCTCATCAAGTCTGGATGGCATCAACTCGCCAGCAATGACAAGTACAGCTGATGGTCCGTTATTTCGTTCTGGCATGTACGCGCATTGGTGGAAGAAAGAAAAGCTACCACCGGCGGTGGTGCGTGGCATCGCCAAGGCTTTGCAATCAACTCAGCTGAGCAAAGATTCGCGTTGTTCCATGTGTTCCAGCTGTGCCAGCTGTGTATCTGGTGGTGGCAGTGGGTTTAGTGAAGGCACAGCCTACTCGTCCCTATGCCGAGAATGTGTGTGCTTCTGTAGATCCAATTCAGGTGGTGAGAATAGCACCAACACCACAACAACCACTTCCATGGTGCAATGTCCGTTATGTTCGGCGGACGATTGCGGTATTACCGATATAAAAGCAGCTTCGGCAACTCACAGCGAACGTGCCAGTCGGTCATCCTTTGGTAATGCAGGCGCTGTTACTGCAACCACATCCAGCACTTCAACCGTTTCAAGTCCGAGTAGTTCGCTGGATTGCCCAATTTGTAAAGGTCTCATAACGCGTGGCAACTCCTTATGCTCTCTTCAGTTGGCAGATGATGATGATGGTGTTAAATTGTCCGCCGAAGGATATGCAGGCGATGCGAGTTCTGCTCATTTAAATTGCGCAAACTGCTCCGATTCTGTTGTAGAAGGCAAGCAAACTTTATTGACACACGCCTGCCTCACCGACCGCTTGGCAACTGCCACTTGCCATTTGCTGGTTGGTGGCGGTGAAGCCGGCGCTGGAGGGGCGTGTGGGCATTCAATTGTGTTAACCTTGATTAACAAGCATTTTGTGATTTCTTTTCGGTTGACATTTGACTTGTGCGCGAGTTGTGCGCTTTTTTAACGGCTTTATGGCCAATACTAAGTAGTTTCACTAGTGTTGCTACAATTTTCATCAATCACTAGTCAGTGTGTTAAAATTTCATAAATCAATACAAAAATTTTTAACCCAACAGAGTTTGTACGAAATATTTGTATGAAGAAAAAGTTTTAATTGTGTAACGCTAGTGTTAACTGAAAACCGCGCAGTTCCCTTGAGTAATACCCTAACTGTTGATATAACTTGAAGATGCATTCTGCTTTTTGTTCAAATTCACGTCATCTGCTTGTCTTCATCATTCATCAAACAAAAACAAAACCAAATCAAAACCACAAACAACTCCAACAAATCACGCTGAGTTGCAAATCGTTTCGATCTAAGAAAAATGAACAAACTTTAGCATTGCCACACTACACCACTTCGCCACCGCATTTGCTCGTTTCGCTTGCTTGCGCTATGTATTTAGCTGTCACAGTGGTTGCATCCGTGCGAAAACTAAACTAAACACAAATTAATAATGAAAACCATAAACTAAACAAAAAAAAAAATGAGAAAACGAAAAAACTAACTAAAGCTAATGTATGAAGCATTCTTAATTTTTTTATTGGTATTAATTGCGTCGAAAATGTTTGGAAACTAACAAAATTGCAAAATTGCCACTTACCTGTAATATATACAACGAAATGTGTTTTCATTTTTCAGATGTCTCCACCGGCGAACCTCGGCATGCTGGGGGCGCAACGCACAAACTCGCAAAGCTCAGCGGCGCCAGCAACGTCAATGGGCACGTCCTTGTCGCATCCGTCACAACACAAACGGAGCCTGTCGTTCAACCACCACCTCAGCTACAATCAATACACACACACTCAGCCTCCACCACCTCATCATCATCTTCCACCACCACAACCAAATCCACAAAATCATCCGGTGGCACCAAACCACAAATCAAGTTTAGCCCCGACATCGAGCAATTTTTCAAAGAGCCAATACCAAGCAGCAGTGGGGGGAAGCACAAACGCAAAGATAGGAAACACAAGAGGTGAGCGATCTCTCTTTCACATACTATGTGCTTCTGTATAATATTCGTTTCTATTTTAGCTAATTGGAGTATAACGAATCTTCGTCCAGCTCCGCCACTGCGTCCCAATTTACTGAATGCGACGGCGCAAAGCGGCAGTGGCGTCACCAGTGGCAGCGGTAGCGCCAATGCGTTGGCCAGCTACTGCAGCGGTCGACGTACGCAGCCAACTTTCGAGGAGGATGTGCTGGTTTTGAGAGTTTTTGAAGGCTATTGTGCTGCCTACCAGAACACTACACGCAACACTATACATTCGGGTAAGTGCTAAACAAACGATTCCCTCTCACTTATATTGTATTGGTAGTACTTAATCATACTGCACATTGCTTAGAGGTGGGTGCATCTGTTTTTTTTTTTTAACTCTCCTCACCTCATTTCACTATTGCTTGTGGTTTTGTTGTTTGTTTGGAAAACTCTGTATAAACGTTTTTTTTTTTTGCCATTTTGCACAAAAAGCGTTCGTGAAGACGTTGAGTGACTGTGGCAGCTGCGCAGTTTTCCTCAGTGTCCTCACATACGTGTTTTCGTTTTCTGCTTCATGTGGGGGTCATAATTACTGCTCGTAAGTTTTGTTTTTTGTTTTGAAGTTTTGTTCGACAAAAAAGCAACACTTGCATATATTTGACATACCATTACTAAAATATTTGACAGAAACTTAAATAACAACTGCAGTTGTAAGTCTAAATTGGAAAATCGTACCGAAAAGTGTGATTTCGCAATTAAATCATGATTCGCAAAGGGGTGTAATAGTAATTAGAATAACAATAACAGTTTGATTTAAACAGAGTGCTTAATTATTATATAAGTTAATTAATATTGCTAATTATGAAATAAAATAATCTTTAGTTTTACATATTGGATTAGATTAAGTAATGCTAGTAGTAAAACATTAATAATACCCATTTGTTTACACTAATTCACATATAAAAAAAAATACACACAAACAAGGAGCTCCCGAAAATGAAATAGAGTAGCCCGAAATCATTGTAACGAATAAAAGCTATTTTAGTTTTTTAGTTTAATATTAATTGGAAAATGTACATATATATTTAATATGCCTACGAGTTTTTTTTTTTTTTAATTTTTCGATTATGGTTTCATTGGAATTACCACTATATGCCTCTGATAGCACATTTTTCGTTGAGCATACTCGTATATACCATCATGTTGGTTTGTTGTTGGTGTTATTACTGGTTTTCCATTATGTGCCTACTTGCCCACCTATTATCTGTCCTATAATTGTATTCTGTTGTCGCTCCCAAAGTAGCGGAATATTCATTTGTGCAGCTGGTGCACAAAAAACACATGCAAAGTCCCTAGCAATTTCACCCCAACAGTTAACTGTAAATCTGGGTCTTTCAATAAATTATTATGCTGAAAGCATCTTTTTACCGCTATTAAATGCTTACATATACAGCTAAAATTTATTTAGTCTTCTATGTATTTATGCATTGCAATTCTGATAAAAGTGCGCTCCTTTAGCCTAAACGCGCACCTGAGTCTGCATAGCACCTCTCTGCCATTTCAACTCTAATTCCATTTAAACAATGTACATAATTAGATCTAATATTTAATGTTGTGCATATTTATCGAAAAAAAAATAGTTTAGCTTTTAACTTCTTACTTATCCTGCTATTCAAACATCTCCATAGAATCCTCTGCTCCTATTAATCATTGCGGCTGCGTGAATTGTTTTCACTAGTTGTTTTGTTTGTTTAACCCACCTCTCATGTAATATTACTTTTGTGTTTTTTGTTGTTTTTGGGATCTTGTGGTGTTTTGGTTACCTTATGCTTATTTAATTACGCTTTGTTGTCCATTGTCGACTCACATTTGAGTCTCACATTGTTTTGACTTCTGTTGTTTCCAGTTATTGTGTTGGTTTTCGCCTTTTTTCGTTTTTCGATTTCATTTCTCTCTTTGTCTTTCTCTCTTCCCCGCACTCTTTTACACTTTTGTTCCGACCCATTTAGCACTGCAACCGTGGACGCCCTGCTTGCCGATACGCGGCGGAAAGCTGCAGACCAGCAAAACCTTTTCTACATCAAATCCACAACTGCCACACCTGTGCAATACAGGCGTTCCATTTCCGGGTAATAGCGGCGCGTCTAACCAACAAAATTCCACAAACAGCCTGAATTCCTCGTACATTTGGCGCGAGGCGAGTCCAAACTATTTCAATTTATATTCTAGTTCAGTTTCATCGTTGAATGCAACAACAACAGCAGTAACCGGCGGCGTGAATACCGGTGGCTATCGCTATTCACTTTCTGGAGCCACCACAAATGCCGGCAGTGGCCCTTCTAGTCTGCCAATATACGAACGTGCACTCTCAGAGGAGCGCGCAACCCGCAAATCACTCAATCGCATGAAGAGCGGTTTTGGTTCGGGATATGACAATATTTTTATGACACCACTGTTGCCACGTAAGAATAAACCATCTCCTAAGCTCGTGAAAAATAGCTACCAAACCCACCAGCGGTCTCCACCGCCTTCGTCTACATCGTTGCGCAATCGTAGCGATTCGGAACGGCTCGATTTAACACCTCTGACGATTACGGAACAGGAGCCGACAACGCAGCGACAGTTACAAAAGCAACAGCGTCCACCAGCGCCAGGTCTTTACGACCGCCGCCTCAATCGTTCTTTTGAGACAACGGTTTCCCATCGTTACGCCGGTTACGGCGGCGGATACATAATGTCTGGCTACGGCCCGTCCACCGGCTATAAGATGACACCACTGCGACGCAGCACACCGCAACTAGCCGGCGGTGAAGATGTGGTGGACAACGGACGAGACAGCGACGACGTCGAGGACGGACCACGCGGCTGTAGCGCTGCACTGTTGCGCAACGGCAGTAGCGTGGGAAATTGCGCAGCCGGCGATCATGAGGCAAACACCAGCACAGACGGCGACAGTCAGCGTCACTCGGGCAGCTGGTGTTGCGGTAATTTTGTTATGAAGCAATGGCGTAAAATGAACAATTATTGATTGTTAAGTGGCTGCATAGAGACGCTTAATGCACGCTTGCTGACAGCGTGTTTACTAGCGCTGCCAGTGTTGCCATACCGCTGCTGCTCATTTCTAATTTGCTGCATTTTGCGTGCTGCTTCTCTTGTGCTAAGCCACAGCCATTAGTTAATAAATTTTTTGTTGTGCAAACGCTGCAGTTAAATTAGCTAAATGTGTATGTAGTGGATAAGTCAGATTTTGTATACATATGTCCTAGTATTAGTTGTAGGCATACCAATCGGTGATAGAGGCTTCGCGCATGCGCAGAAAGGAAGTAAAAATTTGTATTGACTTTTTTTGATACAAAGTTGAATTTAGCGATAATGTTTGATACATTTAAACAAAAATATATATATTTTTTATTATATTGACCATTAAGAAAATCGGGCCATCGCAATAGCTTTATTTTTGCTTATATTTATTCACATATTTTAATATTCAAACAATTTGGTTTTGTAAATATTCAAGTTTAAAGTTGCTATCCATTTTTTTTTTACATTTATGAAATGTTTGTACGTTCTTCTATGCCTTACATAATATATGACCTTTATAATAAGTACACTTAGTTTATAAATAATATTTTTATACTATTAAAATCTATTATACATATTTATGTATGTTTGTATACTTGGAGCAGTTGTTACTCATATTATTACGTATGAAGAGAAGCAATTCGAACTTTTGACAATGCCGGAGTCAGTCTTAACAAATTATATGATTCATTCTTGTACATAGTTACTAGGGTGGAGCGAAAAAAAAAATTATTTTTTTGCTTAGCCTGAGGATAAAATTTGTAGATTATAAAAAAAAAATATTTATGGTAAAAAAAAAAATTTAGAGGCGGCTCACTCAGTTTTAAAGTAAATTTTCGAGTTAAAATTTTTATTTCGTAAAAAATGTTTGATAAGTGTTCTAGAAGAGAGTACTCTTTATAGCCAACAAGCTATCAACTTAAAAAAAATTTTTGTGGCCATTATTGGAGTTTTAAAAAAAAGTCTTACACGACAACATGCTTTCCTTAAGCGTTAAAATAAGTTTTGAGTCGAAAACCGTCACATTCGGTAATTTTTATATAAATGGAAAGAGTTTAAACCAAAAAAAAGTTTTTCTTGTCCAAAAGAAATTGTTTTTTTTTACCCTCAGGCTAAGCAAAAAAAAAATTTGTTTCGCTCCACCCTAATAGTTACTATTTATATTTCTTCGATAACCGAAGATTTTTAATTAAATTAATTCATTAAATGAAATTAGAAGCTCAGTTAGGTTACTAAAACCGTTCACCGAAACATCCCAGTTTTAGTGAAATTGAAAACTAAAAAAATCGTATTTTTTTTTTGCATTAAATTATGTTGAAAGTGCAAAAGAAAGTAATTTTCCGCTCTCTGCTGAACTTAAACGCCCCCATGAATAAATGTGAAAAATTAGTAAAATGCATTTCTAGCCAAATAACTACGTTTTATAGCCACACTGAGACTGTATGAACAATTGTACAATACGTAGCATGATAATTGAATGTAACCGTTAATTCTAAATGCTATACACATTGCTTGCCGTTTGCCATAAGCGACCTGTACGCAGTTGCCACATTCTAACATAATTCGTTTTTCCGCATCTGAGCAACTCAAAGGCAACGATTTAATACTTTATTGAGATGATTGACTTTCAAAATGTTTTATTGATATATAACAGATAGCGCACACGCAGCAGTATATGCTCTGTATGACAGGCAAGCAGCTGTGCAATATTTCTCCGAACATTAAAAAATTATAGAAAATTAAATGCCTCAACAAGCGGCGGAATGTCTGTTCTTAATAAAATATCATCTTCAAGTGTACTTTCCTTAGTCATTTTTTCTGTTAATCACATTTTGTTGTATTTATTATAATTTTTTTTTAGAAAATTTTATTACTAACTTCTACCAAAGAATTAAAACGAATCAAAGAAGAGGTTTATTACTTTTAAGTCTTGTGTCGCCCAGGAACTGAGCGAAAACATGAATACAATATTAATGTATTTTGGATAATTTGACAGATAAAATTTGAAAACTAAACAATATATAATATTGAAATCGTGTATGCTTTAAATGTTATTGCAGTGAAAATTATGTATATGCGTATTTAAATTTGTATGTATTTAATACAAAAAGCAAATATATGTACAATCGAAATGTAATTGCTAAACTTTAAGTTAGCCAGGAGTCTTTTAAGTAACTAATACTAAGTCATCATGAACCAGTGTGTGAGGTTTTACATTGAAATTAATACTAAAACAAAAAAGAAAAACAATAATAAATCAATAATACAAACTGAATTGAAGATTTTTTTTTTAATACTCATGTGTAAAATTAAAAATATTTTTTATAAAGATTGGTAACTCACACAATGCGCAACAACAATAACCACAAACGAAACCCAGCACCCAGAAGTCGGAAACATGTTGACAAATGAAGCAGTAAATTGTGTCTGCATGCCCGACGCTTTTGCTAAACTCTCTATTTAGTACTGTAGCTTAGCATTGCAGACATGTTGATAAACAATGCAGAGACCCATATTGTCCATAGAGTGCTCCTTTGAGTTTACCATTAACTCTTGGCTAATTTTCGTTTGCAGAACAATCATTTGTTGCTTGTTTTAACGCCGTTATTTCACTTATAAACCTGGGTGCTAAACGTGTCCAGTTACAATTCGGTTTTTGGGTTGGGCTTTTTGTTTTTGTAGCTAAGAATTACCATTTTCCTCCAAGGCTGAACAACAACATTTAGCAAATATTGTTTGAAAGTATTATATGTAGTTATATTTCTATATTTCTTCTCGCGTTTGGTACATTAAACACTTTTATTACGTAATCTATTGAATGCTGCGTTTGTAATGGATTTCTTTTGTCTACATAAGCCTTGCTTCCATATGTACTCGTATTTAAGTATTTAGTTCTTTGTTATTTCTATAAAAATATTTTTGATAAACGTTTGTTCCGATTATTTGCACCATCAAAATCACAGTTCAGCAATAGAACCTTGAATCCATCACAGCTAGCAACACCATTCCACAATATTCTATGTTTTTTCTTTTCTTTTACCTCTTCGAACATCTCAATCAACATCACCATCATCACCACAACCATCACTATCTAACTACATACGAATGGCAACAACAACCAAAACTACGCTTTCTACAAACCCCAACAACACGTGAAGGCTTGGAAAACGAGGATATGACACCGACTCTGCGCCAACTATGGACCGCAATACGTCAGATGCAGCAGGAAATGTCACAAATGAAGCTACAAATGAATGAGGAGCGTGCCTTGCGCACTAGCCTGCAACAGCTGTTAATGCAACACTTGGAGGCGGGCAGCGCGGTTAGCAATACGCCGAAATGTTGACTATGCAAGTGAGAGTGCAACGAGACACGTGTGACATTGATAAACGGATCGAGTTTGAAATGCCTGGAAGACAAAGTATTCGTTTGGTCAATATCGCGGTAATGAAGCGAGTAGGGCGAGTGTGTCGGTTGCACCTACGCATCATTTATTGCACATTTTGTTGCAATTTTTCTTTATGAAAGAACAATAATGTTTTATTATTAAGTATGTATTGTATGTAGTTCTGTTTTTAAGTAGCCTACTTATGGTAAGTGCATAGTTTGTAACACAGACCCTTGCATACATAGAATGTGTCATATTTAACGCTCACGCTCTAGTTTTTATGAACTTAAGTATTAAGCACAAATATTGAATAACTTTGAAAATAGTTTATTATTAAATTTCACGAGATTCGTAAAAAGTTGTGAACTAGGCTTATTTAGTGTTATATTATTTGTATTTTGTAGTTGAATAGCAGAAGAACTGCGCTGGGAAAGCGTCAGTAGTGGCTTTTTCGAAGAATTTTCGAAATTTTCACAAATAGAAATAATTTTCGCGTATAGTCTTTGCTAGCAACATACTTGTAGTAAGCATGCTGCTTTCACTTTTACGCTTATCCTTCATGTTAACAGTTAACTTCTTTTGACCATGATAGTTAGAGGTTATGACATCACAAATGCTTTGCACAAAAATATCATTTCGTATTTACTCGGGTTCTGCATAATCGCAATTGAGCGTAGAACGTTTAGTCAAACATACATTTGACGGAGCAACCAGAATGCTGAAACTAAGCAAACATTTCATTAGCAAATCGTTTAATTTAAAAAATTACGCAAAAGCGTAATTTTAAACCAGGCGTATTAGGGAGCCGGTACTTTCATTTAACTTTGTATTTTTTCAAATATTTTCAAAATTTCAAACGAGTGCTTTCTTCTTTAATAATTCAACCAATCACTCATTAAGTCGGACGCACAAAAATTCTACTACACAACAACAAATTAATTATTAAATATACGTAATAAGAAACTAATTTTTATAATCGAACAAAAAAGCAATTACAACGACATTAACTTCTCGACAGCCAAGTAATAAGTTGAGAGGCCAGGAACACTGCGCAGAACAGAAGTACAGTGCTAATTGTAATTACGAAACTGAAAAATTACTCAATAAGAAAATGCTAGAGTTTTTAGCTGACAAGCAAATATAATATATTATTGCTTTGGTGAAGCCGTGGTTAATGTATTTATAACTAATTATAGGCATTGCATATTTGATTACCGTTATTTTATTTTTTGGTGATAAGAAATATTGGAAGCGTTTTATTGCTTACCAAATGTGTTCGCAAGAATATGAATTATATTCAAACAGAAATTAGTAAAGTATTAAATAAAATAAAATCTATTTTTAGCTTTGCAATATTATTGGTAGAGTGTATTAAGACAAGAAACAGAATTTATTCAATTGTTGCATAGTGCTTTTGTTGCTATTGTAATTTCGATGTGTATTGTTAACAAATGCTCATTAAACTCCTTTTTGGATTGTCAATTATATATTTCCAAATCAACAAGTAATTAAACAGTAATAGAGCATTAAGTAATTGTAAGAACAAAATAATGGTTATTATACTGACAAAAAAAAATAACAAAAAACCAATGTAAGCGAGTGTCTACACGCACACAACTAAATAATAAAAGCGAATATTTTCTATTTCATTTCGAAGGAATTACCATTTTGTTTTTTCTTGCAAATAAAGTTTTGTTAGTTGGAACAAATGAAGGTGAAGCTAAGTGTGCATATGTTTGCGGAATTTCTAAAGATTTTACACATATTACAAAAGTTTAGTAGCACAACTACACTAGAACTCTACGTGGGTATGCCCAGGTATCATTTATATCATTATCCGTTGAAACCTGTTGATTACGACTGGATTTACTCAAAATAATATATGTGCTGTCAAATCGCGAATTTCAAGCTTTCAAACCATCGATCTTTTTCTGCATGCAAAATTCATAAATTCAGACACATAAGCAAGCTAAATTGAATTGCACTTAAAATTTATTATTTGTTTTCTACTTAACAGTAACAATAATTTAAAGATCAAGCACAAAATCATTTTTAAAATGATCAGCACAGAATAAAATAAAAGGGCACCAACTCAACTCCTCTGGAGTCAAATTGTAAAATATTTTTTTTTTAATTTTTTTTTTGTTTTTGGTTGATTAAATCTTAGTAATTCTCAGTAGTTCTGACATAATTGACGCCGGACGGCATTGTCACTTTGTCGAATCCTTTTGGGAACAGTTTGTTTGCTTCCTCATCAGTCACATTGGGAAGAATCATGACTTTAGTGCCAGGCTGTATTTGAGGAAAACAACAGAAACAGTTATTAACAAATAAAAGTGAATATGTGTAAACGCAGTGACACTTACCGTCCAGTTGGCGGGTGTGGCCACAATTCACTTTCGGTTACGAAGATTTAAATGAAACATTACAAACTACTAAAAAATATTAAAACCTACCTTGTTCTTTCATATTTCGAGAACGAATAAGTTCAAAAATTCAAAATCTTATTTATAATATTGACTTTTGACAGCCATAAATTAATCTTAAGATATGTTTTTTTAATTTGATATACTTATATTTTCAAACCTGAAAAATTATATTTGATATAAAGTTAAGTGATATAGCTATTAATCGCTTTTAAATATTCCAAATCAATATGAGCGCAACATTTTTAAAATTGAGCAAAACGAAGGGAAATGAGAATAAACCAAAGACTTAAGTCCCAAACACTACATCCACACAAAAATAAAAACAAAATAAAATCCCATTCAGTTGGCGTAAGCTTTCAGAAGCTTTCACTCAAACTACTGAAGAACAAAAACACTCAAAACTATACCCAATTTAACAACTCACAAGTTCACTCACACATCTCTTTCTCTGTGAGTACTGCTTATTTTAATGGTGGACTCGACGGTAGAGGTGCAGAAATTAAGAAAAAAAAAAATAAGCACATATAAACAACATTATCTGTCAGATGCCGAAATGAAGCGTTAACACAAATAACTAAAACTACTAGTAACAAGTAAGAAAGCGCTAAGTTCGGGTGTAAGCGAACATTTTAAACTCTTGCAACTTGCAAAGATCAAAGTAGGGATAATACATTCAGATATAGCAGAACTTTATATTAAACTAGAAGAATGTTATTTTCAGCTGCCCCAAAGCACTAATACCCGTCACGGGGTATCCTTTTGTTTACAATTAACCAATTCTCAATATTTGTTTACATTTTGTATTCTATTGTTTACATTTATGGGATCGATGCCCCATTGTTTACATTTTGTGAGGTCAATGAACTTTAGCCAAGTCCACACCTATATTCGATTTAGCGAGGTTCACAACCATTTGTTAATTTAGGGCCAGTGACCTTTTGTTTACATTTAGGGTCACTGACATTTTATTACCTTATGAGGTCAATGACCTTATTGTTTACATTTGCCAAGGTCAATGACCCTTTGTTTACATTTATGAGGTCAATGAACCTTTTGTTTACATTTAGCCAAGTCCACAACCTTGGTTTATATTTAGCCTAGTCCAACCTATTTTAGATTTAGCGAAGTTAATAACCTTTCTTAACAATTGGGGCCAATTACCTTTTATTTACATTTTATGGAGTCAATGACACCTTTGTAAATTGGTCAAATCAGACTCTGTAGCATATAGTAGTTAGTTTGTATGGCAGCTATATGCTATAATGGTTCGATCTGAATAATTTCTTCAGAGATTGCAAGAAAATCAAAACGAGAATGGTTTGCAGCTATGACGACTATTTCGTTGTGTGGGCATGGCATGGTGGGGTTACGTCCTTTTACAAAATAAATTTTGTTGCCAAAAAACAATCGGATTTCAACACATTCATAATCCTGATCCTTTATATATATATATACTGT